AGAAGGTATTCGTTATTCATTTTATTGGCCAAACATGTCACAAGATATTGAGGAATACTACAAAACTTGTATGGAATGTCAATTACAGAGTAGAGAATGAACCAGCAATCGTATACCCATAGTTCCAGTTCAGAGACCTGAATTTCCATTTGACACAATGAATTTAGATATAATTGGTCGAATTGAACCTCCAACAGCATGTAAACACAAATATGTACTATGTTTAGTCGACGAACATTCAAGGTGGCCAGAAGCTACCCCTTTGAGAACAAACAATTACAGCAAAATCAACATGCAACAAATTATTATAAATCTTTATGAAAACAGGCATACCTCGGATAATAACTAGTGATCAAGGTACCAATTTCGTTGCAGAATTAACACAAGAATTTCATACCAGATTAGGAGCAAGTCCTAGATTTGCAAGACCAGGACATCCACAAAGTTTGGGATTAGTTGAACAGTATAACCAAGCTCTAAAATGTATGCTGCATCATGTTATTCAAAACGATTCTAAAAATTGGGACAAACACATCCCATACCTGTTATTCGCTTACCACGACATTCCAAATTGTACTATGGGAGTATCACCTTTTAAATTAATGTATGGAAGAGAGGCCAGAGGTCTGTTGTCAGTATTAAAATCATTATGGTCAGAAGAAATTCCATTACCAATAAAATTGGGTAAATGTGCTGTTGATTATCTACAGGAGATAAAAATGAATTTAGAAATAGCAGCAGAGCAAGCATCTATAATAGCAGAATTGAAACAAGGTGCATGTGCAAGATATGCTAATCGAAGAGCGATATATAAAGAATTCAATCCTGGAGATCAATGTACCTGCTGATTCCAGATTCCATAATAAATTATATGCCAGAATGGATAGGACCTGCAGAAATAGTATCTCGTTGTAATCCAGATTCTTTACAGAGTCAGACTGACAGATGGTACAATAAGAAGAGTACATGTAAATAAAATTCGAAAATTTAATCCAAAGTACAGGCAGTAGGTAATATTTGAGAACGAAGAAAAACTAGGAGAAGTCCATTCCACACCCTGTGTGAGTGACAAGTCTGATCATTTTCATCTTAGCGAAGTAGACTTAAGCCATTTAGATGATGATAAAAGAAATGACATGATGAACTTGCTAAGAAAATATGACAACTTATTTATAAATAAGGTACTAATTGCCTAAGAAGGAACACATAAAATAAGATTAAATGACACTGAAGAAAAAAGCCATATGTTTATCAAATTCCAGAAGCATTGAAGCCGCAAGTAGACAAACAAATGGAAGAAATGTTGTCAATGGGATTGATTGAAGAAACCAACGTTGATATTTCGTACCCTATTGTATGCATTATGAAGAAAGACGGTAATATTTGCCTTTGGGTTGATTTTAGATCTCTTAATGCAGTGACGAAACCAGATGACTTCCCTATGGAAAATCCTAAAGAGCTCTTATTCCACATTGGAAAAGCTAACGTGATATCCACCATTGATTTACTCAAAGGCTATTGGGCCATACCATTAGAGAAAGTCAAGAAAATAGCATGTTTCAAGACACATTGGGTTCAGTATCAATTTAAAGTTATGCCTTTTGGACTATGCAGTGCCACTGCAACATTTCAGAGTGTGATGAACCAAGCCCTTGCTAAATACAAAGATTTTGCTCGAGCTTACATCAATGACATAGCAGTTTATTCAAATAGGGCGAATGAACATTTAGTACATCTTGACAACATGTTTTCAAAACTGTTAGAACTTAAATTTTCTGTAAATCTCAAGAAATGTTCCTTTGCTAAAACTCATATTAAGTATCTAGGACATATCATTGGATCCGGCAGTCATCATACTGATCCAGAGAAAGTGGAGGCTATCCAGAAATTAGCTAGACCTTAAACAAAGAAACAATTGAAAAGTATTCTAGGCCTATGTAATTATTACAGAGATTACATTTCACATTATGCCGTAACAGCTTATCCATTAACCAAGCTCACCAAATGAAGAAGTCTTGAAGAGTTGTGCTGGACAGAAAAACACGACCAAGCATTCGAGAAATTAAAGAAATGATTAATGGAAACACCTAATCTTTATACTCCTGTTCCAGCATTACCTTTTACACTTCAAGGTGATGCATCTTCAACAGGTGTTGGAACCTGTTTATCTCAATGGAAAAACAGAAAGTTGTACCCGATTAGTTATGCCAACCAGAAACTAACCAAAACACATCAAGCATGGCCAACTATCGAGAGGGAAGCTTATGCTGTTATTTGGAGCCTGAAAATGTTTGAAACTTGGATTTTTGGATCACCTGTGGAACTGATAACTGATCACAATCTGCTAACTTTCATCACAAAGAATGCACCCCAATTTTCTAAGTTACAGAGATGGGCTTTAGCATTACAAAAGTATGATACTACAATTTCACATTGCCCAGGTGCTAAGTTAAACAATGGTGATGTGTTATCCAGACTAGAGACTATTGAATGATTTGTGCAAAAGAAAGAACTTTTCATAGACATTTATGAACTCTTAGGATTATTGTTTTTTGTGTGTGTCTTTTCTTTTCAGCTACTCTCATAGAGAACTTTTAAGTATACCATAAAAACTTTAAGTATTATATTGCATTTATAATTGTTTGATTAGTAAGAGTTAATCATTTATATATTACAGTTTTAGAAGAAGTCTTGTAGTAGGTGTAGAAGTAACTTGTATAAGTATTGTGTTATCTATCTTTCAACTTTAGTATTGATTGATTTGTAGACTTTAGTAAAAGTAACTTTTTGTTTGACGTACCATAATTTGTCGTATTTCAAAAGGCTTTCACCCCCTTTCAATTTTGGATGAGGGGGTGATGTATGGGTGAGGCCAACCATCAAGATGTATAGAGTGCGCTAAATCTCAGCCTGGGGAGGTGCCAAAAGTTTAGTTTCCAAGAGGGAGACCAACAGAGAGGTCATAGCGAAGGCTTATGGGAGCCATTAATGAAAAAGAAATTAACTTGTATTACTTAATATATATATATATATGTATTTCAGTTATTAGATTATAGTTTTAGTATTAGTTTTGTGTTTGTGAAATAAATGTTCAAAATACAATAAGGTGGAGTTATTTCTCTATGAGGCGGAGGATGCAGAAAGGGGTGATATCACAATTAAAAACAGAATTATAGTGACAGGCATGTTGAAAATCATAATTTAAAACTGTATGCTATATGCAATCTTGCATTATACTGATTAATATTATATAAGGTCTAGAGTTCATTATACATTCAGGTATATACATATGAGATTTATGAAAAAAATTATTGAAATATGATATTAAAAAACTTACCTTATCATTGTTATACATGATATTAAAGGTGTAATGTGTCCACAGAAATATTTTATGAGCATGTGGTAGAAAACCACTTTCTTCAAGATGACCAATAAATCCATGAAGTGGTAAGTCATCTATAAAATAGAATTAAAATTAGCTCATTACAAAAAAGAGAGACCTTTCTGATTATCCTAACTCCTTTCAAACAGTTATGAACAAAAAGTTATGAACTCATTGCTGACTTCAAAGAACATTCACAAACTTGATGACTAATTTTTTGCCAAATTGAACTGTAAAAGACAACAGCCATTTTCAAAATGTTGGCACACAAATAATTCCAAAAAAGAGCAAGGAATCAGTAAAACTGGACAACAATAAACACCAGCCATAAAACACGTAACTTTATTTAAAAATTCTTCCTTAGGTGAGTTGTTTCCTTCCCATGGACACAACGATCTGTTTTCACTTAAGAAACATCAAAGATTTCCACAGACTTAGTATTGTAACACATCAGCACTGTGCATGAGGCAAAACAGACCTGTGCTATGTGCATACATGGGTTGGCACATAAATATATACGTATTTTGGCAACAAGAACAACAATGTGGACATTTTTTGTTCTTGTAAGAAAGCGTAATGGGATTGAAGAGTTTGCCACCTAAAGACAAATATGGTAATTATATTTTAAAATCAGTACACTCAATAAGGGTGCTCAAAAAGTTTTTATAAATTTTGTGGGAATGAGTAGAAAAATCCTATAAGTTAAATTTTTTTTTTTTATTTTTTTTTTTTTTTTTAAAATTTAAAAAATTACAGAAAATGCAGAAGAGAGCTTGAAAAAGAAAGTAAAAGGAACTGCTATTAAAAAGTAAAAAAAAGGCTTCACATCATGGGCTTATCATGACAAACAACTCTGAATATAGGAGGCCCTTTTTTAAATAAAAGAACAGTAATTAAGAGCAAATAAATAAATAATAAAAAAATTTAATAAAAAACCTATAAACGCTTTAATACGACCTTCTTTATCCTTCTCTTTTGGAACTTTCAGATGAAAAATTCATTCTTTTAAAAAGTATTACAGGGTATAGACTACTCCAGATTTTTTTAAAGACTATTAATGGATTTTATAGGAATTTCCTTTTCTTTTAAAATTTTGGGGACAAATAGAATTTCTTCTTTTTGTGTTTCTATTTCAGTGTAAACTTTTCTTACCTCTGCTAATTTGATTAATAATAGAATTTGCAAGAACATTTTTAAATATGTTGGAATTCCAATTTATAAGCTCCAACTATTGGCTATAAATCTAAATTTGACAGGATTTTTATGAAATTTTGGTAAGGCATATAGATTTGCAAATCTATTATTTGTAATGAAAAGAGAAATTATCTATTTTTTGTGAATAGCAGAAATTTTGTTGATAACAGTTCTTTTTTTATTTTTGCAGATACTATAGATAAAAAAACTTTTCAGTTCATTTCCAATTATAGAATTGTAGAATTTTTTCATAAAATACTGAAATAATTGTTTGCTTTATCAATTTTGGTTATGGTAAATTCCTTTTTTAATTGTGAAAACTTCAAAAGTAAATTTTTCTAGTTATTACTTCCTTTCAGAATGTCTATTGTTTCGTAAATTTTTCAGCAGCTTAATGCGCAAAAATATTAGACATGATTATATCATATTTTTAAAAATATTATTTTGCAATTATATATATATATGCGTGTGTGTGTGTAAAAATAAAAAAAAATACAGTGACTTTGCCCTATGCAAACAGGCAACCTCTAATTAACTTTCTGCTATTTCATGATCTTCCCCCTAGACCAGTACTTACGAGAACATTCTGGCATGTTATGTAACCGCTAGTATAAATACCGAGTACACACCATTTTTCATCAGACTGCTTCCTTTTATCATTGCTACATGACTCTGCGCTGCTCTGTTTATCTTTCTTCCCTTTTTTAGAATAGTTATGACGCCAAAAGCCTAGATTTCATCTTATTTAGTTTAAAACACTATTTGATATGTAATTGGGAGAATTACATCTAAAAGAAAAATTATCTGTCATTTGAATTGAATGAAGATGTGCAATTAAAAGAAAAATCCTTCTGTGTCATCATTCTGCTGTATGCCACTCAGACAAACAATGCTCGGACTCTGATGCCAAGCTTCATCCTTCCTCTGTTTTCCGTAAAACCATCACACACACACACACACACATATATATTATTATTAAATACTCCAAAACTTCTCAAATTCAGCATTTAAAATAAGTACATGTTACATTTATAAGTGTGGGAATCGTGCCTCAACGAAGCACCAGATGTCACTACCTATTTCTATTTTGTAGGAACTCTCCAGGTTCCAGGATCTTCAGTTGGTTCGAGAAGTACGACAGAAGCAGTCTAACAGAACGCTCGCGAAGGAGCTACAACTAGACGCTTAATGGTCGCGCGTAGGCGATCGGACTTGGAACTTATCTAAAGTGACCGCACGTAGGTGGTCAGCTGTGACTTTTACATAGTGGAACCAGTGTGATTACTCTCCTAAACATATTTAATCCATTTGTACATACTCATTCTGTTTATCTTTTCTTCTATAATTCAGGAATAAGACCTGATACTTTGAATCGTGAGTGTGATCTGTGTTTGATGATAAGACGTCACCCTCACAACTATGGGGCTCCAAGCCGGCGAACTTGAAAAAAGGTACTGTGAAAACTTTTCTTTCTTTAAGATAGTGATACTTGTTTCGTTTTAAAATGAGTTTCTTAAATAATTCAAACAAGAGTGATTTAAAATTAATTGCCGAAAGAATTGGAGAGAATGTTCCAGAAAATGCTAAAAAAGCTGACATTAGAAAAATTATAGAAAATTCTGATGTCTTCAAAATGAAAATTGAATTTGTTCGTGGCGTCATCAAATCGATCGCCGAGGATCGGACGCCTAAGACAAGTAATGAACACTATCTGTTAGAAATTGAATGTCTTAAATTAGCCCAAATTGAGAAGCAAATTGAGCTAGAAAATTTAAAATCACAATCATTATCGGGTGATAGAAAAAACGCACAGACTAGTGTTGAAAATTTACTGAAAAGCGTTAAAACGCTTACAATCTCTCTGTTCCTGAGCGGCCAGAGGCATTGCATTTGTTTTTCATTTCATTGGAAAAAGCTTTTGCCACCAAAGAAGTTCCCAAAGACTTACAAGCTGAGATACTAATTAATTTGCTAGGGGTTAAAGCAAATAATGTTTTAATGTAACGTATGCAACTGAAGAAGAATTGTCGAATTACGAAAAACTAAAAGAGTTGTTTTTAGCTGAATTTCAGCCGACACCAAGAGAGATTCTGAACACCTTTAAACATGCTCAACGCGCAGCAAACGAGTCGCATGTTCAATTTGCATCGCGATTGACCGCAACATTTGAATACTACTGTCAGGTTAGGGAGACACAAAAGGATTTTAAAAAGTTATTTGATTTAATTGTTGCAGATAAATTGTATGAAACTTTGGATTTCAAAACGAAAGAATACATAGGTGTTCGCGAGGGGAGAACATGGTTTAATCCAACACAGTTAGGGCGAGAATGTGATTTATATTTTTCATCCCGAGGAAAATCATTGTCTGAAATACATAACCCTAAAGTTCAGTCTAATGAATCGAAAGTACCAAGTGTTCAAAACCAAAGTATTAAAAAAATGACTCATTCCGTCGTAGCAAACCTAAAAATAAAAACAAGATGTCATTTCGTCGACGCCAGAGAGATCATGTTACGTCTGCGGGGAAAAGGGGTGAAAATTTTCATTTCATTTCGCTAGGGATTGCGTAAAACGTAAACAAAGCGAATCGCATAAGGAAACAGAAAGAAAAAACAAAACAAGTGTTAATAACGTCAGTTTTATTCACGAGTTGCAATATGCTGATATTTTCGTAGAAAATAAAAAAATAAAAGCACTTATCGATTCAGGCGCTCAAGTTCCGGTCATAAATTCATCATTCATTCAAATAAAGACACCGCTGGACGGTAAAATAATACTTAGCTCATGTTTTGACGAAAAAAAAGAGGCAGATATCGCTAGAGTAGGATTATCTTTAAATAGCAATTCACCAAGGTTAGAAATCATTGTTGCAGCCGTAAATAAATTATCTGTTCCTTTAATTTTAACACCCAAACATTTATTCTCAACTTCTAAAAGTAAGTCGGGAAGAAAAAAATGAAACATCTAATCCTGATACCCGAAAATGATTTTAAAAGTGAATCATCATTACAAGAGTGTTTTTTTATTAAATTTTTGCAAATGTGATTGACGAATGTGATGTGGATTTCTTGCATGTTACTGATGTGAACATTCGTAAGGATTTATCGTTATTGATTCATAATTATAAACCAAATAAAACTAAAAAAAGACACGAATTTAAAAAAAATGAATATTGTGTTAAAAGATGATATTCCAGTATCGCAACGGTCTCGGAGATTACCGTTTGCTGAGCAAAAAATTGTTGATAAACAGATAGACGAGTGGTTGCAAAAGGGGATAATTAAACCATCTTGTTCCGAATACGCATCTCCAATTCTGTTATGTAAGAAAACGTGATAAAACACATAGATTATGCGTAGACTTCAGACAGTTAAATAAAAAAGTAGTGAAAGATTCTTTTCCTCCTATGGCCCAGGTAGAGGAAGTACTTGATCATTTGGGGGAAGCGAAAGTTTTTTCAACTTTGGATTTGAAAAATGTTTTTTTTCCACGTTCCAGTCGATGAAAGATGTACCAAATATTTAGCATTCATTTGTCATGCAGGTTTATTTGAATTTTTAAGAGCACCGTTTGGTTTGACCACAAGTCCTAGTGTATTTTTAAGATTTATCTATAATGTATTCAGGGAATTAATAAGGGATAATACAGTTGTAATTTACATGGATGATTTTATCATACCTTCCCGTGATGAAAAAGAGGGATTAGAAAAACTTAAACGAGTTTTAAAAGTAGCTTCAGAATATGGACTAGAAAATTAATTTTAAAAAATGTCAATTCCTTAAAAGAAAATTGAATTGAATTTCTCGGTTATTTAATTGAAGAAGGTACAATTCGTCCATCTCCAAATAAGACCCTTGCAGTTAAAAATTTTCCTCAACCTAAGAACGTTTAAGCAATTGCAAAGCTTCCTAGGTCTCGCAGGCTATTTTAGAAAATTTGTACCTGGTTATTCGAAAATAGCCAAACCATTGAGTGATATGCTTCGCAATGGTGTAGAATTTGAATTTGGGCCAAAACAGCAACAGGCATTTGACCATCTTAAAGAACTTTTGAGCAAAAGTCCTGTACTTAACATCTTTCAGCAGGGAAAACCTTTGGAATTACACACAGATGCTAGTAGTCATGGTTTCGGTGCAGTTTTGCTTCAACGCTCAGATGATGGACAGCTGCATCCAATCCATTACATGAGCAAGAAAACATCACCTCAACAAGAAAAAATGTCAAGTTATGAACTCGAAGTGCTAGCGATCGTCGAAGCCTTGAAAAAATTTCGAAGTTATCTCTTAGGCACAAAAATCAAAATAGTCACAGACTGCGATGCATTTCAGAAGACAATGCAGAAAAAAGATCTGACACTGACACCAAAGATAGCTAGATGGGCACTGCTACTCGAAGGGTTCGAATATGAAGTTATCCACAGATCAACAACAGATGAGACATGTCGACGCATTAAGTAGGCATGCTGTGTGCATGGTCACTCGTTCGCAAAGTGAAATCACTACTAAGATCGCAACATCGCAACAGGCTGATGAGCGTCTTCAATTATTGAAAACTCTGGTCGAGAAAGGACTTAGAGATGACTATCTGCTAAAAGATAATGTGTTGTATCTGCAGGAGAGAGGTCGAGAACTCATCGTTGTGTGCCGGAAGCGATGGAATTCGAGATCATCCGTGGCATACATAACAAAGGACACTTTGCTGTACAAAAGACAGAAGATCTGTTGAAAAGAGATTTTTCATATTTTCGAATGCTACAAAGAAAATAGAGCACGTTATAATGAACTGTGTCGAGTGCATCCTCTGTAATAAAAAGCGAGACAAAGCAGGTCTATTGAACCCAATCCCAAAGGACAATATTCCGTTAAGCACATATCACATAGATTTTGTAGGACCTCTGACATCTATAGATGAGAGATACCGACATATATTTACAGTGGTAGATGCTTTTACAAAATTTGTCTGGTTTTACCCAGTCAAGACAACATCAACGGCAGAAGCTGTACAGAAACTAAAAATCCAACAATCTGTCTTTGGAAATCCTTATTATTATTATTATCCTTTGGAAATATCTCTGACAAGGGATCTGCTTTCACTTCAAAGGACTTTGAGGAATACTATAAAGATGAAGGAATTCAGCACATACAAATCACAACAGGCGTTCCAAGAGCCAACGGCCAGATCGAAAGAATTCATGGAACCCTTATCCCAGTGCTTGCAAAATTGTCAGTAGATCCTGCCAAATGGTTCAAATTTGTACCTGACGTCCAAAGAATCATCAACAGCACCGTCAGTAGATCAACGAAATTCACTCCTTTTGAGCTGATGACAGGCGTGAAAATGAGAAATTAGGCAGACCAAAGAATTAAAGAAATTCTCAATGAAGAATTCCTGAACTCCACCATCCAGGAGAAAGAGTCTATTTGTGAAGAGGCTAAAGCGACTATCTTAAAACTGCAGGAGGAGAACCGACGACAATACAATCGACGTCATAGAACCGCTCCACTCTACAAAGTCAACAACCTAGTAGCCATTAAAAGAATCCAGTTAGGAGGCGGTCTCAAGCTAAGACCTAAATTCCTAGGACCTTATAAAGTGATCAAGATTAAGCCACATGATCGATACGATGTAGCCAAGGTAGGAGCTCATGAAGGACCTGAAGCAACTTCGGCAGACCACATGAAGCTTTGGTCTGATGACATCGCAACTTGAGATCATTTTGCCAACTATTTTTCAAATGTTTCTTTCTTTTTTCTTTTTCTTTTCTTTTCTTTTTTTCTTTTTTTTTTTTTTTTTTATTTTTGTGTTTTACAGATGTATTCAAGTGTTCGGAGGTCCTCACCTGTCGATGGCTGAGCGTGTGGGAATCATGCCTCAACAAAGCACCAGATGTCGCTACCTATCTCTATTTTGTAGGAACTCTCCAGGTTCCAGGATCTTCAGTTGGTTCTAGAAGTCCGAGAGAAGCGGTCTAACAGAACGCTCGTGAAGGAGATACAACTAGACGCTTACTGGTCGCGCGTAGGCAGTCGGACTTGGAACTTGTCTAAAGTGACCGCACGTAGGTGGTCAGCTGTGACTTTTACATCTCCATAGTGGAACCAGTGTGATTACTCTCCTAAAAATATTTAATCCATTTGTACATACTCATTCCGTTTATCTTTTCTTCTATAATTCAGGAATAAAACCTGATACTTTGAATCGTGAGTGTGATCTCTGTTTGATGATAAGACGTCACCTTCACATAAGCATTAACTGCATCCTTGGAATTATGCTAAATGCAATGAGAGTAAGCTTATCATGAAGACGAGCTCTCATTATGAAGCAATTAAATGGAGGTCTTCAATGCCCAGTTTTGTATTTGTTTCACATTTGTGTTGAATAAAATTAAAATAAAAGGAATGCTACTACTAAATGTTATCGCTATGTATTACTTTTAAAGAAATAATATAGCAAATATAAAAAGAAGTGTATGGCAAACTTATCAGGAATCTAAAGATAAGCAAGCGGCTTTTATAAATTTTGTAACTGTTAATTTACTGATTTATGAGTCTGAAACGCTTTATAACCAGAGGATATACTATGATCAATGTGATATTTTCAAACATGAGAACAAATATATATACGCTAAGCAAAAAAAAAAAAAAAGGGTGAAGTGTGAAGTTCTATATCTCTCATTCTACTGGGTTGACAGAATTCAACTTGCGTTTTTCATGTCTCGAAAGCATGACTTAGGATATGTACTAGATTTACATGCAGCATTGTTCTAATATAGGTATTTTGACACAAAATCCGACTTTTTAAATGACATGCCAATTTTTTTCCATGTTTCAATTCTACGACTTAACTTACGCCAAACTGCCAAGTTTTGTAAAAATCACACGAGTAGTTTTTAAAAAATTGGCTCTCAAAATGTTAGCTCCTCAATGTTAATCGAGTTTGGTATATATTTATTAATATCTCTTTTTTTATTAAACTCATTTGGTTCTTCCTTTCACATTTCGAAATTTGGATTCCAAATAAAATTTGTCCATTTTTTATGATTTATTTTAAAAATCTGTATTTTAAAATAATTTTTATAAATTTTTCAAAAAAATTTTGAATTATAATCTATAAAATTTTTACCATCATTTTAAAGTAGATGTATTTCTAAGCATACCTGCACAAAATTTCCGAAGTTTTCTATTCAAAATTTCCGAAGATATTGCACTTTGTTAAAATTATTTGGAAGTAGAAACATACCACTTCTTTTCCGCTCATGCACAATGTATAAAGGTAGGAACGATGTGACTTTTTTTCTGCTCATGCACAATGGAAGGGAAAGGAAAATAGGTTGTGATATATTAAGAAGTTTGCCCAGTAAATTATTCTTGGCACAAACTGAAAAAATTGCAAAGATAAATTTTTGAATTTCTCCATAAATTTCACACCAAATTTTACAAAATTTAATATTTAGGCATAATTTGAGTCATAGAATCGAAATATGGAAAGCAATTGGTATGTCATTTAAGAAAAAGTCCGATTTTGGGTGAAAATACCTATATTAGAACGATGCTATATATAAATCTAATATATATCCTAAGTCACGCTTTCAAGACGTGAAAAATGCAATTTGAATTTCGTCAATTGGCCCGGTAGAATGGGAGATATAGAGCTGTCCCCCCCTTTTTTTGCGTAGTGTATATGTATATCAGTGTACAGAAGCAGCATTGTATTAAGCCTTTACAGGCCTTTACCACTTCAGATTTTGGTGCCCTTACAAAAATGTACACCTATTTTTTTTTTCATTCCTTCTCTCTTGATCTTGGTTTACCTGCACCATATATTCCATAGTAATATCAGCAATGGAAAGTCTATGTGGTGCCCCCTTTCCTAAATTTCAAAAGAACTTTTTGTGGTGCCCCTATCCTTGATGCCCTTAGCAGATGCTTATTTTTTTTAACTCTGGGTGAAATATCATATTTTGGCCATATCATATTTCTTTTTAAGTGAAAACAGATCACAGTGTACATACACAGAGTGAATAATAGTAGCATGAAAAATAACAGCATGATGAATGCCAAATCTGTGCAACTCTCTGGTGTTTTTTGAGTGAAAAGAGATTGCTGTATACATAGGGAAAACAACAGTGCAAAAATAAATTACATAAGGATTTCTTGAAAAAGGTAAATGATTTATTATAGATATTTCTTGCTTTTTAATTTTAAAAATTATGGATTTTATGCTCATGTTAGTAGAATTCTTTGCATGTCACTATTTTACAAAAAGCTGTTGCATTTTGCATATTGCATTTGTGAATAATTAGTCACTAATGAGTTGATGACATTTCAGACAGGCCATATTGCCTTTGTAAATAATCAGTTGCAAATGAGTTCGTGACTTTTGAGAAGGGAGTGCAGATAATTAAAAAATATATAAAAAACATTATTGCATGTTTCATGTAAGAAAGAATTTAAATGAATTAAAATGTAAAACCAAATAATATGTTTAAAATATTTAGACCTGTAAGAATGAAAGGTCAATGCAGAGAAAATATTTTCATTAATTTTCAGATAACAACATTGAGAAAATCAAGAATGTGGAAAATATACCAAGTACTTAATAGGAAGACTGGAAAAAAAAATTTTTTTCTCCTTACTAAGACAGTTATCATTGGTGGAATTAATCAGAAAGAGAACAAAATAAAAATTTTAGCATGAATATTCACTTACCAAGAATAAATTCAAAGTAGTACAAATCTTCAATAGCTTCTTTCAGCTGTAACAATTCCTTCTCATTTAAAGTGACTGTACATAGCTTTTGATTTTTTAAAGGAACTGCAAGAAAATAAATGAGTCACAGCATACAGATTACTACCATCTCTTCAGACATATCAATTAATGAAGGAAAATCACCAGAAATAAAACTGCTGAGAATATACACTAGGCATGGCCAAATTATAGCTCCTGAGCCACATGAAGCTTTCTAGCCTCTTGAATATGGCCTACATCAAAACAAATAACAGTTTTATTTTTGAAATATAACTCCAACTTGAAACTGAAGTCATGCTATGACATACCTTTTGTGAAAATCAGTCATTTCAGTTTTTTAATTATAGATATAAAAATTTTAATCAATTTCAAACTATCTGCATATGCTACAGAGATAATTTGTGAGCCTCAGTAGAGTTTATAATGTAGGCCCTTAAGTATGATATAAATCATACGGATGAGCAATTACTGTATTAGAAAGCAATGCATATTTGCTTAAAATTAAAAAAAGTGTTATTTTAAGAAATGCCAATTAAAAAATACAAACGTCCAGTCAAAATTCCCATAATTGGGTATATTTCGCTTTAAAAGCAAATTTTATAACAAAAATTTTTGCAAAAATACTTTTTCTAGTTGTTAATTACATTAACTTGTAAACTTTGCACGTTAAAAAGAACTAGTTCTTGAATCAAGTTTCTTGAGATTTTTTTTAAGGGGATTTAAAGCAGGTCCCAGTAATCAGGGTTTGCACGCATTTCTGCCTATGGAAATTAAGTACTTTTAAGGACCATTAATGAATAAATTAAGGACCCATCAACAAATGGTAACTGAATAAATTCAATTAAAGATACTAGCCATGCCTGAACTTCACTTTTGTCATACCATCCTAAGAATAATCCACAAGTAGTATCCTAATCCACAAGTAGAATGCATTATTATTATACATAATTTAATAAACATAAGTATAAAATAAACTTAAGAATAAAATCAACTTTATAAAATTTATCAGGTAGCATTAAATATTTTACCATTATAATAGCTAGACATATTTGAAAGAAGATTACTGATATTTTATTTACATTTCAGTAACAGTTAGCTTTATGCTGATTTTTTCTTTTATGTTTCATTTTGTTGCATACTTGCACAGTTTAGAGGTTTAGTAAACAGCAGGTAGATTTTATGTCAAATAGCATTGGCTAAAATGACAAATAAAATCATAATCAGCATGATTCATTTTCAGAAGACTGGCTATTGCCACTGCTACTGCTTGACTAGAGACAGGCCTGCTGATCAGAACAAACTTGAAAGCCTGGTGTAGGCATGGTTGGCAAGTTTTGAAAGTTAGTTGTGCTTTGCTTGTCTGATGCAATTAGTGTCCTAACTTAGTGTAAAGTTCCTAAGGTTGTAACACAGTTAATATATTTTAAGGTTTCAATAAGCCACTAAATCACCAAAGGTTATAAGTTGCTTTGTGTTATTTTAAGCCAAACTAGATGCAAAGAATTAAGTTTTACATTACATTTTTGTGTTGTATCTTGTGACCATGGTAAAGATTAATGAAAGGCAATAACTCACTTTAATATGCAGAGGTAACTTTTAAGGGTGGCCAGTTAGTTACAAATAATTAAATTAGCTCAATCGAATAAACAATCGTATATCATATCTATCAATCAATTGTATAGTGGTAATTGGTTAGTACAATAGGGTGCGTTGTGAAACCCACTAGGGAAAAATCAATAACCCTAATTCAATAAAACTCCATGTTTCTTGAAAGCCTCTCAGCTCAAACAAATGAAGGGACATGACAGACCACAGTAAATTAACACACACACACACACACACACCACACAAAAAAAAATTGCAATTAAATTTTAAACACACATTTATTAAATATATAATATTATTAGTAAATATAATAACATTATTAGTAAATACTTGGGTAACTGATCAGTATCCCCTACCACATATTTTTACTATAAAAATATCCCATCTGTCACACAAAATTTCAGCTTACAATAATTAAAACATTTAATTCATAATTATAATTTTTTTTCCACAAATTAAGAAGGTGTAACATATTTTAATTCTCCAAATAAAAGGGTCTCATTAATTAAAAGTGAACATTTTTCTAACTTGCATATAAAGCAGGCGTAACAAATTATAATCCTCCAAAATAACTGGTCATTCCCTTAAAATTTCTAATCACTTCTCAATATTACCAGCTAGCAATATGTAATTTATATAAGTAATAAAAATTTATATATGGGGATAAATGATTATTAACTAGTTCACCATGGCATTTGGGAATAAAGAGAAAACAGAGAAAAATAATCTTAAAATTTCATTCACGGATGGAAGACAGTTTTTCCGGATTGAAGGATCTTTAGTGTCCAATCTATTCCCCTGGGAAATGAGCTAAGACATTTTTTTTTTTTTTTTTCTGTCAAAACACTTTCGGAAGCGTCCATTGATTTCAGGAACAAGGGGAACATGGTACTTTTTTCTGGAACAAATCTGTATCTCATGACAAATTCCTTCAACAGGAATGTCTCAAACATGACTATTCAAGTTCTCCAAAATACACGATGAAGCGGCGAAACTAAATTTTGCATAGAGCACTTTCAGCACAAACTTCTTAGCTGTAACCAATCTGTTCAGTCTATGATGAACAATTCTAACTGGAAAGCCTCTAACATGACTATTCAAAGATCTCAAAATACATGATGAAACGGTGAAATCAAATTCCGTTCAAACAAATTCTCATCAGCGGGAAAGCCGCGAAAAACCTTGCCTCAGACCGAGGTGCAAGCCCCCCGCAGGAGGTCAAGCCCCACAGAACTTTGTCTTTTCTGGCTTTACATCTTCACAAGTCAAATCTGTTTCCAAATCTAACTCAACTGGCACTCGCGAGAGCAAGACCCGCAAGGGGTCAAGCCCCCACTCTTTTCTCTTTTTTTTTTCTTTCTCTTAGCTTGAAAATCAGAATCAGAATGAATTCTAGCAAGGTTTAAACCTCCCAGGAAATCTCGGTTTCTCTGCCTCTGTAAGTTCATAGGCTTACAAAAAATCATCATATTAAAATCACTCCAATGCTGGACATTACTTTATCTAGACTAAGAAAATGACACCTCGATGACGAATCAAAAACAAGAAAAATCTTACAATGAGCCAAAATCTGTACTCAGGAAAACATGGGAAATAGAGTGGACCCCCCCCAACTAAATAGCGGAAAACTAAGCTTTACGAAAATCCAATTACCTAAGCTTAGTACACCCCCACTGTCTTGAAGTAAGCAAAATTGCAACTATAACAAAGCGAAAGCAAGAAGATTTTCGTTTCAAACAGCATTAGTAAAAGGTGACAATACAACACCCTACTGCCTCCATTGTTAGTAAAAAAGGCCATAAACCATTAAACCAGGTGGCTCTTGCAACCGTTTCCTGTCTTTGTTACACTACACTTTCAAGAACTACCAGTTAAATAAGGCCTTAATAACTTGAGAATACCTTTTTTCCAGATTAAAATATACATGAATACAGATGAAAATAAAGTCAAAAGTCTTTAATCCGGACTCGTCGGGACTTCGGCGATTCCGGATTATAGATCATCAGTTTAAATCTGGTAAGATGACATGCAGAAATTATAAAATTAAAAACATGAAACTGTAATTTATGAAATGAAAGAGCGATTATGATCTATGGGTATCAAAATTTACAAAAAAAAGAGCTTAATATTTATTTGTTTACTTTATTAAACATTTCTTTCAATGTAAGTTGTTTAAGTTGCTTCGTTTTATGTGCTTTCTCTTTAATTCTATAAACAGACATAATTTCTTGTTCAGTTACAAAGTTCCGCTGTTCAAGTCCTATAACTGCTGCGTCGAGAATACCAACTAATTTGTCAATCGAAGTTTTTTCGTTTTCAATAACCTCTCTGTCACTTTCTTCACTATCAGAAGCGGTACATCGAAACATGCTTTCGCTTTGTAGATGCTTTGGCAGCTCCAGAATCGGAAACTCTTTTTGACATAATTGAAAGTTCAAGCTTACTTTTTATAAAATTGCTCTAACAGTCTGCAAAAAATAATAAGTTGGATAAATTAGAAGATTAAGGAACAATATAATCTGCAACATTAACTGAAATAGATCATTTTAGCATAGTTTATACCGTCCGTTATACATTAAACCTGCATGCGTAAACATATTATGCACATGTGCAGATGCATTATGCGTTTGCACATGCGCAGAAAGTTTGTAGCTTTGTGGTCTGGATTATAGATCATTCCGGATTAAAGACTTTTGACTGCATTAGAATAATAATAACTTAAAACACATATTAATAATTAAAATTCTCGACATAACAAATCCTAAAGTCTCCCCTACAAATTCTGTAGTAACAAAAAGCCAGAAATACGTTTAAAAAAAAATCAGAAGGAAAAAGTGTCAACTTAATTTTATACAGAAAACTGATGCATATTGAGACAATCACATGGAAAAAACTCTTGCAATGAAAAAATTAAAACAAATACATTTTTAATTAATTACATAGTTATTTTGCTTTCGCTAAGAATTGCTACATAAATTGTGCTAAAGAGCAATTCAAGCATTTATTACCTTATTTTTCAGATTCAAAATATTGTACAATAAGTTCCAAAATAAAAAATAATGTCACTTTATAATATGATAGCAGAAAAAAATATTATTTCTTCAATGCAATTTCCATATATTAGCATTATTTTAATGAAAGTGATTAATGCTATAATTTTTTTTTAAAAATATCGCCGAAAAATTCCCAGACTTCTGAATTAAAAAATTTCTATAGAAACTGATCTTAAAATTGCCAAAATGTTTATAAGTAGCCAAATTTGGAACTTCTTAATAAAGAATTCACATTTCCAAAAGCGAAAAGTTGTTTATGGGCACTTCATTAGAAAAAATGAAATAATTTTGAAATGCTTATGTTTCACTTCTTGCTCAGAAACTTGAGTATCCCATCATTTATATTAGAAACAGGAATAAATTATAATTTATTCACTCATTCAAAAGATAATTGTATTTGTGAATGAATCACTAAAAATATTTGACCAAAATGCTAATTCATATTGAAAATGGCAGTTGTAAAAAAAAGACAGATTTCAGATGATTAAAATTAAGGACCTCCTGCCGAATTTGGTCGAAATTAAGGGCTTTTAAGGACCCAAAAATAAATTCCAAAAAACCTAAGGACATTTAAGGACTTTTGAGGATTGTACAAATCCTGGTAATTTATACCAGCTCTCTCCTTCCTCCATCCATGGCACTGTGTCTGCCATTTCTGTGAGCATGCTTTTTCACACATTTTACAGCTTGAAATCAAGAAGGTAAAATTATGCAAAATTTTTTAAAGGAAAGAAAAAATTTATACAATTTAAAAAGCATATGGTACAAGTACTACTGTTAGCGACAGCCTTCGTTATCATTTCTTATTATTTGCTTATAATATATTGTTACTGCATAGTTTTAATTTGATGATTTTGATTAGTGGTAAAAGAATACAGTATCTCTCATTGTAACTCACTGGACTTACACGAGAAGGATAACAAAATGACACAAGACTATTAAGGAATATTTTGGATTTTCATTAAGAAATATTTTGGAGGAAATATTTCATAATCTAGTTTTTATTACTATCACAGAAATTCTAATAGAAGTAGTTCTTTGTCAAATCTTCTGCATACTGAATCTCCAAGGAAGAAATTTCAAAAACTGCTCATTCTTTAGGAGCAGTCAACTTAACTTTTTTTGTTTAACATTAAAAATAAATCTAAAATTTCTACGCCATGAACTAAAAATGGTAGCAAAAAAACATATAAGAATGAAAATATGAAAGTAAATAAAATACTTCTTATGATTATTAACTAAAAATATTTAACCCTCAAGCGCGCGCGCTCATATGAGTTACACGAGCACGCGCAACTGGGTCCAAAAGACCCAATTCCTGTTTTTTGAAGAAAATGTTGCGAATATTCAGAAAAAATGTGACATTTATGTCAATAATAAATTTTATGATAAAATTTTTAAAAAATATGCAAGTTAAAATTTTGGGTAGAGTAGACTTTAAGTTACCCCTTGTATTATGGCGAAGTTGTTGTTTGATTTATCGCCAAGTTGTTGTTTCATTTATGGTAGCCTGAGTAGTTGAATGTTATGGAAACCATATTGTGACGTAATCGGGTGCATGTTTCTGGGAAATTTTAATCATGGGATGTTTTGTAAGCGTTTCTGTGGTGTGTGTTGGTTTAATTCCTTAGACGGTAGAATGGCCGAATGTAATAAGATTAATTTGAAGTTTCTGTACGATTTGGAGTGAAAGGGGAAAAGAGCTTTAATTAACTGGTGTGTAAATGAAGGTTTACTTAGTAGCCATGATAAGTGCTATGTGTGTAGGAAGGATATGCGTCTAGTCGAATGTAAAAACCGTTTAGATGGATTTGAATGGGTTTGTAGGAAGAAAGGTTCAGGTGGTCACTATGTGAAGCGTTCGATCAGAAAGAGCACCTGGTTTGAAAAAAGTCATTTGAGTATGATTGATATTTTGATTTCTACGTGGCTCTGGGTGTACGAAGCGAATTCGAAAATCATGGTAAGTGAATATTTGCTTTTGGTAGTGCTTAAATGTATAACATGCTTTTCCTTTTTTATGTTATTTTATTGTTTGGTTTAAAATGTATTTTATTGAGATTATGTATTTTTTGTTTGCCTATATTGTAGAATTTGGTGCTCCTGTGATAATATATCAATATGTACATGAACAAAGTAAAGGGAGTGCGCAATGCAAGTTTATCCAATTCTGGGATTTTTTTTAAAGTGAAAATAGGTCGATGTGTACATGGATAAAGTTAAAAGAGTGTACAATGCCATTTTTATGCAATTCAGGAATTTTTTTAAAGTGAAAATAGGTCGACGTGTACATGGATAAAGTCAAAGGAGTGCGTAATGCCATTTTTGTGAAATTCGGGAATTTTTGTAAGTGAAAATAAGTCGATGTGTACATGGAAACCGAGTTTGTGCAATTGTTTGTCTTGTTATGTTGGCTTTGTGTAGCGGTGATTTTTGGCGCAAAATCGCCGCTTCGCAAGCCAAAATAACGAGTCAAAGACTTGCACAAAATCGGTATCCATGTACCATCAAAAATCGCAAAGTTTCGCCAAGCGGTACCCTAAACTATACTTTTACCAAAATTTTTATTTCTTCTAATGCTTTTATAAAACAAAATTTCTTAAAGGAATAGAAAATCTAATTATTTATTAGCACAGGAAAAAAAAAAAAGTACTGTATCGATACTCTTTACTCTGTGTTGATTCTTATTTTCTTTATTAGCACTATAGACACAGATGAAAATGCAAGAACTAATGTGAGCAGCACATTAAAGAAAGTGTTTTCGTGTGTTCCAAATAGAAATATTTTTCACTTTCGGCAAAAGACATTTTCGTTTTTTTGTACTTTTTTGCTGGACAAACAATTCATTTTTTTTTATTTATTTACCCCCCCCTGCTTCCAACAATTTTTTTCCATCCAAAAAATTTATGTTTTTCTCCCACTCGTTTTCAGAATCTATATATATCACTGTCTAAATCAGAATCATGCAAATTAAAAACTCATGATCACTTCCATCCTCATTTTCTTCAATACATTCTTTGCCAGTTGATACCTCTGATAACTTTTGCAACATTTCTTCGTTGTATAATAAATAATATGACATTTTTCCTGCTTTCTATACTATCACAAATCAATTACACGAATAGGTGCGCTGGGTCTAAAAGACCTAATCGCATCAAAATCAGGACTCCAAATAAAGTCCCAACGAAAAAACTTCGGAAACTTCAGATCGACCTAAAACATGACTACACTGGACCTCAACAACTTACGTGAAATATGTGCGCTTTCAGAAAGGTTTATTTAATCGCGTGGGTCCTCGCGGGTTAAAGGAAAAATTAATTTTCATGAAAATGGTCAAAATGTTAAAAATGGCAAATTTTTCAAAAATACAAATATATAAATAACATAACAAGAAACTTCTAAAAATGAAATTATAAGAAAAGTGGTGCATATTTACCGCGGAATGAAATATTATACATGGAAACTGCCATTCGGTCCCCTTCAAGCACTTCTCCCAAAGTAAGACTTTTATGTTCAATCTTTAAAACAACAAGCACTTATAACAACATAATTATGAATAGGTCTGCTTAAAATTAATTTTATAACTTATTATAGTACAATAACAAATTTGCATACATACAAGGCACAATGCCTCACAACTTAAAATAAACATCATTTCTTAAATTTTATAATTATTTCCAGCAAAATTAGATGACACTTACATATAAGTAGTTACAAACTTACATGTAACAACTGAATGAAAACCTACATATACTGAGTACCTATTTTAAAGAACTTTTAATTTATAAAAATAAAAAATTACATCCAAAGAGGTAATAAATAAAATTTGATTAGATTTTACAAAAGATACTTTATATGTTCTAGAAAAGTAATCTACACTGAGAGTGTAAAGGAATTAAATTTATTGTTTATCAAGTACTACTATCATGACATACAACATAAAATGCCATTTTAAAAAGGGGCAGGAATAATATACTTTTCTCTGTTTGATACATTTAAACCTAAACAAATTTATTCTCATTTTGAATGTAATATAAATGGGTAGTTGTATCAGAAATTTCAGTTTAGTAATAAATTTTGTTATCAAGTTATTGTAACCAATAGCACGGCAAATAAAAATTAATAATTGAGAATCTGATAAATGAAATATAAAACTTTAAAAATAACATGTAAGAAGATAGCATATAGGATTACTTGAAATGTGACATTAACATGCACATATAACGTAACATTGAAAATAACATGTAATATTACTTGAAATGCAGCATCAATACATACATATAACATTAATACTAATATATATAACATTGCTTTGAAAATATCAAGCAAAATCACTAGAAATATAACATGTACATGTAACATTACTTTGAAAATAACAGGTAACTTTACTGGTATGGAGAAAAATTCTTAGGAGTGGTAATTTTGGACATTTTCTAGATAATGATCTAAATACGCTGTACATTTGTGCATAATACAGAACTATTTTTTGAAACAATGAAGACAGAACATTTTCCTTATCTGGCAAATTAAAACATAACTCTGAAATTTTTCAAAATGCTAATTTTTTTAACGAATCAATTTTGAAAAAAATTATGACAGTAAAATGCTTACAAATTCCAGATAATTTTATATCTTGCAATAAAATTTAAACATATTTCTTATTATGTATTTACTATTTAAAAAGTATGGAAATAATTGATTTTTAGATGGAACATGAGCAAATTCTTTGTTTAGTACTCATTATTGTAATGGAATAGTAGATTAGTAATAATTATATCAGTTTTTACAAAGTATTCCATGAAACAGCAATGGGCAACATTTAGGAAAGATTTTTGACCACAACTTACAGTTAAAGATATTGACTGATGTAAAGTTTGATGACATAAATCAATATTTTTACATTTGATATAACAATTTTAGTGCTTGGTTTTATGTTTGTTTTAAAAAATTCACTTAAAAAAAGGGGGGGGTCATGAGTGAAATATTTGGACAAAACAATGTTCTTTAAAGTCACAATGCAATTAACTATAAAACTGTTAAAAATTATTTTAACTTTTGTCCTTGATCTTGATATTATTAATAGTCTCAGATTCAATTTGAGTTAAATTCATTCTAATGATATATTTATCATTCATTCTGTGTTTATTTACTAATTTATTTCAGTACTGCTCTGTTACCAGGACCAGATTCAGATATGTGTACTATACACTGGTGTGCAAAAATTACGGACGAAATCGAAAAATTAGCATATCAGCTGAACGAAGAGGCAGAGCGGACAGAAAGGCCAATCAGGATATTAAGTAAGGTGACGTACGGCAGCACATGCGCAGATATGCAGGTAGACGTAATGGGGGAGTGTCTGAGTAGTATAAAGCATGTTGTCGGTGTAAGATCAGTATTTCTAGCAAAGAGATTGCACGCCTTATAGCAGTTAAAATCACACCGAGTTGCTGCCTCAGCGAGAAATGGTGAATAATCAATCTGTTAGACGACATCTGGATGCTTTTACCTGAGGTCGAATCATTGGGAAGTTGGAGGAAGGCCGCAGTGTGACAAGTGTGACTGCAGAGTTCAGAATTGCTCACAGCATCATTTCCCGACTTTGGAGACAATTTCAAACTACAGGAACAGCTATCCGGGGGTTTAGTAGTGGTCGTCCACGAGGAACCACACCCGCAGATGACAGGTATATTGCCTTACAGGGCAGAAGAAACAGGCGGCAGACAGCGGGAGAAATCGCTAGACACACGACACAGGCGACTGGACGACCGATATCACGTTTTACCGTGGCCAGAAGACTGCACGGTGGTAGTCTGTTTGTACGACGCCCTGTACGGTGTGTACTTCTAATGCCTGCCCATCGGAGAAGGCGTTCTCTGTGGTGCTGGGAACACCGGAATTGGAGAGACAATGAATGGGGACGAGTACTCTTTACAGACGAGAGCAGATTCAGTCTGAGTAGCGATTCTCATCGCATACTCATCTGGAGAGAGCGGGGAAGCTGCAATCATCCCTCGAACATCATTGAAAGGGACAGGTATGGAGGTGGCGGTGTTCTCGTTTGAGGAGGCATCATGCTTGGTAGTCGTACAGACCTTCACATCTTCGATGCAGGTTCAGTCAACGGGACCCGTTATTGTAACGAGATTCTTCTTCCATATGTGCGTCTTTTTAGAGGCACTATGGGTCCGCAGTTCCTTTTCATGGACGACAATGCACCATGTCATCGCACAGTAGCTGCCGAACAGCTCTTAGAGAGTGAGGATATTGAACGTATGGATTGGCTGGCACGATCTCCGGATCTCAATCCCATCGAGCATGTATGGGATTTTCTAGGCAGACGCTTGGCAGCTCGTACCTTACCACCACTAACGATTCCGGAGCTTCGATTGGCGCTGCAAGACGAATGGGCAGCAATGCCTCAACAACTCATTGACACCCTCATTCTCAGCATGGGCAGACGCTGTGAAACCTGCCTAGCAGTCAGGGGAGATCATATCTTCTATTAAAGACCGGATGTTTCTTGCTGGACACCCATCACAGGGATGTTTCGGCCTCCAGTCGCATTGCGCTCCATGCTGCTTTTCCAATAAAGCTTCTTTTTATCCCTCCGATTTCTCTTTTAGTAAGTGTTGCTTACATTACTCATGTCCTTACGTATTAGGGATCTTACGGTATTAAATGTGTTGATTTGGAAAGCTTTTGTACAAAGTTATATTGAAAAAACTGTCTCGTCCTTAATTTTTGCACACCAGTGTATGTATGTATGTATGGATGCACAAATGCATATGTGGTATACACATATATGCACATGCATTCATTTCTGAATCGGGTCCCACAATAATAGAAGAGTACATTTCTCAATATTTTTTATATTTTATTTAATTATCCATTACATTTTTCGTTGCTATATTTATTCAAAAATAAGACTCCTTTTTTGCTACATCTTTATTCTAAAATTTTTATTTATAATTAGATATTTTAGTAAATGAGATTGCTAACTGACAGCAGGAATTTAATCGATACTATATAGAATAATTATACTATGTAAATACAAAATACATTGTATGAATTACTGCATATATAAATTGCATAAGTACAACTAATTATAATATCTATGAGTAATTTCCGTTTAGATCTCTGTTGACCATATCGGTTACTGGTATGGCTGAAAACAAATAGGTAATAATATATCATTAATTTTTCTTTCTACACCATAGTAACATATTGAATTTGATGAAATAACCTCCTTTTATTCTAATCAGAAACAACTGAATTCTAATCATCAAACATTTCTTAAAATATAAACTAAAATATCAAAAAGGGTCTTATTTTCAAGTAAATGAAGCACAATGTTTTATTTTTGTTCACTATTGCTAAGCAACTTCCATACAGTTCCAACATTTTTAACTTTTGAAGTTAAACAGTGGAAGCAGGTTTTCAAAAGAATGAATATAACTGAGTCCTTTGTGCATCAACACAGCATAGATTGAATTTTCTAAATGACGAAAACTTCCATCACTTTGTCGGGGAAAGTGTAGAATCGCCCACTGCTTGGCTCGTTTTTAAGAATTGCATAAATTCGGTATCGGGTCGATGTTGTACACACCGACCTATTTTCACTTAAAAAAACATCCCAGAATTGCACAAAAATGGCATTGTGCACTCCCTTGACTTTATCCATGTACACATCGACCTATGTTCACTTAAAAAGTCACAAAAAAATTGACAAAAACCCAATTCTTCTTACTCTTGTAAAAAGTGCCAAACATATAAGTGGGCAATTCTGCACTTCACCCACTTTGTCTGCCAGAGTGCCCATTAGTAGCTAAGTGGATAAAATACTCAACATGGGTAACATTAGTTTGGTTTCAGCCAATCAAATAAATGCTGATTATACATGAAGTTTTTATGTGTTTTACAATACATATTATAATTAACTCTTTCCTTAAAAATTTCTACATGAATCTCTCGGTTAGAGTAGAGAGAAGGGTACCCCTTGTATTATCACGAAGTTGTTGTTTCATTTCTGGTAACCTTAGTAGTTGAATGTTATGAAAACCCTATTATGATGTAACCGGTTGCATGATTGTGGTAAATTCGTAAAGGGCTAGTGGTGTGTGTGTTAGTTAGGAAGTATATTGCTTGTTTTGAGGTTTAGACGGCAAAATGGCCAAATGTGGTAAGATTAATTTGAAGTTTCTGCACGATTTGGAAAGAAAGGGGAAAAGAGCATTACTTGACTGCTGTGTAAATGAAGGTTACTTAGGAGTCATTATTAGGTGTCCTGTTTGTAGAGAGGAAATGCGTATGGCTGAACGTCTGAAATGCACACAGTCGAACGTTGTTATGAAGTATATTTTTTATTCTTATTTTGTGAATTTATGTGGTGATGTCAGTAAACAGATTCTAGTTCAGATAATTTTAGGAAGTTTTAAGATGCTGTTAAGGAATTTTGTTTGACTGAAGACGTGTTAATTCGTAAATAAGGTAAGTGGATATTTCCTTTGTGTAGTGCAAAGATGAATTTCCTTTTTTATGTTATTTCATTGTTTGATTTAAAATGTAGTTTATCGAGATTATATATTTTTGTTGGCTGCTTCTTTGAATTTTTAGTGAATATAGTTCAATGTTTACATGGACAAAGGGAGTGCACAAAGCCTAGTTTGGGCAATTTTCTGATTTTTTTTAAGTGAAAATAGGTCAATATGTACATGGATAAAGTCGAGGGAGTGCACAATGCCATTTTTGTGCAATTCTGGGATTTTGTTTAAGTGAAAATAGGGTTGATGTGTACATGGATACCGAGTTAGTGCAATTCTTTGCCTTGTTATTTTGGCTTTGTGTAGCGGTGATTTTTTCACACAAGCCAAAGAATTGCACAAACTCAGTATCCACATACCGCCAAAAATCGCCAAGGGGTGTACCCGTATATATACTTTTACCAATCTCTCTTCTCAGCACATCTCCTCAAGTACTTGACCATAATAAACACCGGTTAATCTTTGGATTATGGTAACTTGGCGATTTTGTGGTGAAAATTTGGCGACAAACCCTGCTACAGCAACTGTCTAGTTTTTGTTTGGATGCCATTTTGTTTTCACGAAGTAAAGGCTTTTTTCTTTTTACTCAACATTTTTTTTTCCAACAATCTGCTAGCCGAATTACACTTATGCTAGAACTTTTATGGAACAAAAGTGTTTAATCATGATGAAGATTAGGTGCGAAATTGGAAGAAAGTGCAGAATCGCAAACTGCTTGCCGCGTTTTCAAGAATTGCACATACACGGTATCCATGTACACGTCGACCTATTTTTACTTAAAAAAAACATTCCAGAATTGCACAAAAATGGCACTGCGCACACTCTTGACTTTATCCATGTACACTGCTAAAGTCCTAGCTAGTAACCTTTATTGCCTTACCAAAATATCGCCAAACTACCTGTTACCATATTCCAAAGATTAGCCAAAACACCTAATTTAACATACCAATATTTATTTTACAGCAGTTCCTTACAAAATAATTTTTGAGTTTATTATAAGAACTTTCTTTTTAACATTTAAATAGATTGAAAAATTTTTTTCGAAACTTCAAGAAATTTCAGGGAAGGAAACATCATTAATTCACTCATTACATTATGTTTTCAGCAAATGCTTTGTTTGTTTTAATTCTCTAAACCTTCAATTTTTGATATATTCTTCACATAACTACATAAATCTCCAAAGCAGCAATGCAATAAATCTACCATCACTCCTGCTGTTATGAGATTTCTATTACTGCACCTGAACTTTAATTATCTTAAGAGATTCATAAAAAGAGAAAGAAAAATTGGTAAAAGTATAGTCTAGGGTATCCCTTGGCGAAACTTGGCGGTTCATAGATACCGATTTTGTGCAATTCTTTGACTCATTATTTTGGCTTGCGAAAATAACAAGACAAACAATTGCACAAACTCGGTATCCATGTACACATCGACTTATTTTCACTTTAAAAAAAAATCCCCGAATTGCACAAAAATGGCATTGCACACTCCTTTGACTTTATCCATGTACACGTCGACCTATTTTCGCTTTAAAAAAAAATCCCCGAATTGCACAAACTTGCAGCGCACTCCCTTTTACTTTGTCATGTACATCGATATATTTTTCACTTAAAATCAAAGGACACCAAATTCTACAATATAGGCAACAAAAATACATAATCTCAATAAAATACATTTTAAACCAACAATAAAATAACATAAAAAAGGAAAAGCATGTTATACATTTAAGCACTACCAAAAGCAAATATTCACTTACCATGATTCGAATCGCTTCGTACACCCCAGACCCACGTAGAAATCAAAATATATCATACTCCAATGACTTTTTTCAAAACCAGGTGCTCTTTCTGATCGAACGCTTCACATAGTGACCACCTGAACCTTCTTCCTACAAAAACCATTCAAATCCATCTAAAAGGTTTTTACATTCGACTAGACACATTCCTTCCTTACACACATAGCACTTATAATGGCTACTTAAGTAAACCTTCATTTACACACCAGTTAATTAAACTCTTTTCCCCTTTCACTCCAAATCGTAAGAGCTTCAAATTAATCTTATTTACATTCGGCCATTCTACCGTCTAAAGAATCAAACCAACACACACCACAAAAACCCTTACAAAACATCCCACGATTCAAAATTTTGCTGATCTTTGGAATATGGTAACAGGGGTTTTTGGCCCCGACATTTTTGGAGGCGGTAAAGAGGCAGTAATATTCCAAAGATTAGCGCGAAAATTTTCTAAAACACTTGATTTTTTTCCATAAAATTATATAAACAGACTTTTATTATTTTCAATATAAATAAAAATCTTAGAAAGTTTAAAAAAAAAAACTACTCACTTTTTGTGGCCGACACACAGGCAATTGATAGTAGTGATAAGTTTCATGAGTGTTAAAGTAAGGACCTACTTTATTTACATACAGTGTCACCTGAATGACAAAAAGTAGACAAGAAAATTATAAAACCACTACGTGTAACGAGAAAACGATTCATTAATAAAACAGGGATAATATACGATTAATAATACACAGTAGGAACAAAGGGAATACTACATTCATTCAGTTAAGGAAACGAGCCTAAAAAATCAAAGAGAAAGCAGCAAAACTAAAACAGCATTTTCCGAAAAACAAATTATGAAATATGCTAAACTCGTTTTGAAAACCATAAAGAAAACATTTTTTTTACTTTTTCGCCTATACTGAAAGAGTATACAATATTCGACAGCGCAGTTAACAAAAGCCCTGGAAGAATTAAAAAAGAGTTCTTTAAAAGCATCGCGACTTTCAAATTGAAGACAGATTTACAGCTGATTTTAGGTAAACAGAAAAAAGTGTCTACAGTGTGTTGCCAAAAGTCTTTTAGTAAATGGAAGTAGAATTTAAGCCAATGATATGAAGAATGATAAGTTTATATCCTTATCTTTTTATAGAAGTTAAATGGCATTAGCTAAAAATATCCATATTATTATTACAAGAGACTTCTTTTCTTCATGTTTTTTTTTTTTGATAGAATCGCTTAAGATACTATAGTGAATGTAATATTTTAAAAAAGTATTTGTTTCTGATATGGCAATAATATGTACATATAATCCTTTTGATTATTAATGAGAAGAAAAGTTTGTAAACATTGTGAGTGGAGATGATTTAAAGCAAGTGATGGGAAGTAATAGTTATAGCACGGTCGTTCGGCTTTTAACAAACTTTCTGTATTCGCATATAAATGTATTGAGCATATATAAATGTAGCTTGTTTAAAAACTCTGATTTCAAGTAATAACATTCGGCTTATTATTTATTACATTCATATCATACGAATAAGAAATATTTCCTTGGTAAGGAAAATTCAGAAAATGGATTTTCATTCTGTGATGGAAACTTTTGCAGAAGCATGGGTTGCTGCTAATACTCACACGCCGCTGACTGAAGCCGCGGAACAGGTGATGCTTCTGTTTTAATTTAGGTTACTTTTAATGTTCCTTATTTTCAAACTGAAAAAAAAAAAAAAAAAAAAAAAAAAAAAAATGTGGAATACATATTGTTGTACTCATTGAAATTTTCGCAACTTTAATTTTGATAAATTTTATAATAAATTGTGTATTAATACTTTAGAGCGGATCACTTTTTCTCAATTCAATCACTTCTGCCATCTTACTTTATGACTTTTAAATATTGAGCCTTTTAAAAATAAAAATAAATATTAAACTACGAGTGGGTAAAGAAATTGAAAGAAAATCCCAGTACTTTTACTCTGCGTCTTTCTCAGTTTAGTTTGATACTGTCCAGAAATTATTTGGATTTTATTGAGTCACTTTTTAATATGTATATTTCAATAATTGATTTAAATAAATTGTTGTAAGCCTCTAAATGTTAAGAAGTCAGCATTGTTGTAATAAGGGCTTCATAAATTGTATGCTTTATACTTTGTTATATATTTGTATTTATTAGTAGCTTCTGTTTCATACTTTTTTCTCTCACTAATTACATTAGATATTTTTGTTTCCATACTTTAATTATGGATCATGGTGAAAAATTATTTAATTTTTCGGAAGTTTTCAAACAGCAACCTAGAGCTGTGTTTTTGTCTTATTAAAAATAACAGTTGCATTTCCTTCCCACAAACATTAGAAATACTTATAAGAATAAAAGCCTTTTTACTACAAAACAGCATCACAGAAATTTTGGTATTTACAATATTAATGTGCCGAATTTTTAAAATGCACAAAACTTGGAAATAATGCATGCATATAACAATTCTTCAGTTTTAGTTGTATTTTTATTCTCAGTCTTTCAGTTCAGTGTAGCAGTTTTCATATGCATTTTTTTTGCAGGGTAATCAAATATCTTTTATAAAAAAATTTTTTTAAAAATCATGATATTTTTGTGTTAAACTCAACTTTAAAATGTGCACTTGTGGAATGTGCTTGAAATTTATGAGGCAACAGTAAAATTTCTAAATTTTCTTGATTATAGTATTTAAATACTGCAGCAATACAGTATGCAAAATCATTTAAATCTTAGTGTCCACTCTAAAAGCGACTGTCATGAATTTCCACCAGAATGAAAGAAAGAAAAACTCACTTATAAGTAAGTTATGCCTGAATTTCTGGATAAATACCTAATTAAAGTGTAAAATATGTATGTAATCATTTTTTGTAAGTCTAAGCCAAAATTTTTGCAGCTAATCTTTGAAATATGGTAACAGGTAGTTTGGCTGCATTTTGGTAAGGCGATAAAGGTTACTAGCTAGAACTTTAGCAGTGTACATGGATAAAGTCAAGAGTGTGCGCAATGCCATTTTTGTGCAATTCTGGGATGTTTTTTTAAGTGAAAATAGGTCGACGTGTACATGGATACCGTGTATGTGCAATTCTTAAAAACACGGCAAGCAGTTTGCGATTCTGCACTTTCTCCTAGTTTCGCACCTAATCTTCGTCGTGATTAAGCACTTTTGTTCCATAAAAGTTCTAGCATAAGCGTAATTCGGCTAGCAGATTGTTGGAAAAAAATGTTACCTTTATTTCGTGAAAACAAAATGGCGTCCAAACAAAAACTAGCAAATTTGCTGTAGTAGGGTTGGTCACCAAAAAATCGCCAAGTTACCATAATCCAAAGATTAACCAAAATTCTTTCTTTGTTAATAATCCCCCCCCCAAAAAAGATTCACTAAGTACTACTGTCAAACCCCACAACAATGAATTTCAGGGTACAGAACGTTTGATTTGGAAAATATTAACTGATAAGGAAAAGATGGATTATTTTATAAAATACTAAAAAATTGATTGATGAATCACAAAAAAATGGCTAATCAGCATTGTAACATTTCTCAAGAAAAATGAATAATAACACTGATTTTAAAAAAATCTTATGAAGAATTACCGTATTTGATGGCATATAAGGCACACCCTTATTTAGTGGGCCACACACAAGGGAAAAAAAAGTTTCAATAGCATGGTTTCTTTTAGTTCCCACGTTTCGTAAAAGCCAAATAAACAATTATTGAATGCAATTACCATCACATATAAGACTGTATCCTTCACGTATAAGACGCAGGTAACTTTTTTTTAGACTAAATTTAGGAGAAAAAGTGCATCTTATATGCTGTCAAATACGGTAATTATAATCAAGTTTTTATGGGCAATTACTAAATTTCTTTTTCATTGTTTTTCAGTTTCACCATTTTTTAATAATTTTGCACAATAAATTACTTAGTATAATAGGCTTTAAATCCACCTGTCAAATTATAAATCTAAATCTAAAATATGAGTTTGTAATTAATATTTGTCAAGTTGATGGCAGATTGAGGCTTCTTTCAGTGTTGAACTCTTTAAGCAATACTTCTTGAACATTGTAATATTGACCTTTTTAAACTTTTCCTTGTACCTTCCCCTATTGCTATGAGTAGAAATTTTTGAGTATCTATTTTCCGTGTGATACCAACTGTAGATTGGAATATAGAGTTAATGAAAGTGAATGCTTTGTAATGCAATATCCTTTTGAATGTGTTAATTTTTAACTCGATATTTTTTCTTCGTAAATTCACTAATTACTTATAAATTTTTAATATAACGAGCTCCTCTTCAGATGGTTATTTAATTAGACACAGGCGTGCAGGATTTACATATAAGCTATAGTTTAAAGCAGGCATTAATTTCTAAAATTAGAAGTGGCGGAGCCATATGGAAGACTGTCAGCAAAGAGGAACAAGAGTAAATAAATAATTTAATAACTATTAAACATATTAATAATTTTAAAATTAACTAGTTAATTATTATCAAATTAATCAATAGCTATTTAATTAATGTTTATTCATTATTATTTAATCAATAATTATTATACAATTAATTATAATTTAATTATTAGATCATTAATTAATTATTATTGAAATAATTAAAGATTAAAGTAATTAAAACATTAAAATTAATTTAAATGTAAAGAGATAAATTAAAATTTAATGAGCGATTTTTAATATAATTTTATTGCTAAAAACAAAATATTCGAAATAAAATTTCTACTGAAATTGTTATTCAATTACGAAAAAGAAGTGCCGCAGTCCTCTTATTTAGGGCTCTGGTGCGCTCCGGCTAGAATTATGATTTATTACAAAAACTAAGAAGCACTGTGCTCCGGCCTAATTTAAGCTCTGATCATAGGGGGAAAAGTTCTTTTATCATCACAAAAATTAAATATACTTAAGGTATAACTCGTGAAAATTCAGATAATATAAAAACAGGGGAAACAGAATGAAGGCGTTTGAGTGGGTGGATTAAAAAAATGAGGGGAATCTTGGTGAGAGAGCACATTTTCTTTGACAGTGGCTCTCTGGTGATGTAATTATAGTCATCAAGCAGATGTGTGTCAGGAGTAAAATGTGTCTTGAATCTGACTCTTAAGGATGAATCTAAAGTTGCTGGTTACACTTTTCGCCCCCTTCCGTATTCGGTTACATTAGTGGATACTATGGGAAGACGATGTATAGGATGTGCTTAAGCAGTTTATCTCAGTATTTCACTCTTATTGTACTCGCTGTCACTTAACGCACATTTAAGAACACAAATTTTCCTTCCTGTCCTTCCTGCGAGGATAACTAACTGTAACCATTGATAACAATACACTAAATACGATAGCATGGCGAGAAATTTACGCATTCCTAAACAAACGCCCCCAAACTTACTGCCCTTCTTAAAGGGTAAGGTTTCCGCATGCGAGTGAGGGGACTTGAATGTCTCATGTTCTCATGAGTTCGTATTTCTAGGAAAATAGAGTATTGCAAAGTCTGCTTATTGTTAAACTAAAACGTTACAAATTCTATTTTTTTTCCTTGAAATTGTGGTTCAGTATTATAAAAAGAAATACTGGAGCTCATCTTATTTAGAGCTCCAGTGCGCTCCTTCCTGCTAGCATTGTAATTTATCTTAAAAATTGAGAAGTACTGGAGCTGGGCTCCAGTGAGCTCCGGCACAATTTAAGCACTGGTTTAGAGTCCCCACTTTCTTGGGGGGACCCCCAAAAAATTAAAATATAGTGTAACAGACTTATATAGGGCTCATATTTCAAATAGCTTAGGGCCTTATCAAGTCTAAATCTGGCTCTGGACACAGGAACTATAAAACTATTATTCAAAGCTGCTGGCATTTTTGTGAGAAAGAGGCAATTAAAAAAAAGGCAAAGGTATGCAAAAGTAATTGATTTTATAGATTTTAATTTTTTTATTTTTTATTTTGAAATGAATTCAGGGTCTGATCAATGGTCCAAACAACCATGGTACACCTGGTCATGGTCCTAGTAATCATGGACAACCTGTTAGTACAGTTTTGCAAGATGTTTCAAATGAACGGCGGGAATCAGAAGCTGGCACTGACAGTGAAAGTAAAGCAACAGATCGCTTGAGTCCCAAAAATAACTCTGATGTTACAGATGCATCAAAGAATTGTTCTTCAACAGCAGACTCTCCAAAGATCTGTACTATAGTAGAAGTAAAGTCTGAATGTAAGCCTCTGTCTAATTCACTTTCTGGACGACAGAGTCCAGTTGATACAGCAAGCAACTGTTCTCCAATAGCAGAATTAAAAGCTCCATATAAAACCTTATCTAACCCACATGGTATGTATTTTTTAAAAAAAAATTTATTTATATAGTCAGAATAATTTTATGTCACAAGTTCAATTTTTTAAATTAATTTACCATGACTATCAAATAATAGAGAATATCTCTTGAATGTATACTTGTCACCAGAAATAAACTAAAATAAATAATATAAGAAACACCTTTCATTGTAGAATCATATCACTTACTTAAGGAAAGTAGTAAGGGGGTGTTTTTATGTTTTTTCCCATGGGTGAGCTTTTGATAAGCCAGATATCCAGAGAAGTACAGAGGCTGTTCGTAAATTATTTTAATGATTTTCATTGCGTTTACAGGAATATTTGACCTGAAATTTTAGTGTTTAAAATTTTTCATTTGATAACCCTTATTCTTCTCTATCTTTGTACACCGTAATTTCAAAGATTATAAAGCCTTTTTTAGTATCAAAAGAGGTATTTTATCCCATTCTGGCTAGCCTATATTTGACGGTGCCTTCGCCAAGTTGTTTCATTTATGGGAACCTGAGTAAAGGGTACCCATTGGATTATGGCCAAGTTGTTGCTTCATTTATAATAACCCGAGTAGTTGAACGTTATGAAAACCCTATTATGACGTAATTGGTTGTGTGAATTTGATTGATGGGAAAAGATTTGTAAGGGCTTGTTTGTGTGTTGGATGTTGGTTAGGAAGTTGCTTATTTTGTGGTTTACACTATAAAATGGCTGAATGTGGTAAGATTAATTTGAAATTTCTATAGTATTTGGAACGGAGGGGGGGGGAGCATTAATTGACTGGTGTGTAAATGAAGGTTTACTTAGTAGCAATTATAAGTGTCCTGTTTGTACAAAGGAAATGCATATGGTCGAACGTAAAGATCGTTCAGATAGCTTTGAATGGGTATGTTGCAAGAAAGGTTCAAATGGTCACCATATAAAGTGCTCTGTTAGAAAGGGAACATCGTTTGAGGAAAGTTTTTGGATGCTGTTTAGGAATTTTGTGTGCCACGGACTGAAGACAGAGAAATTTCTAAATAAGGTAGGTGGCTATTTCCTTTGTGTAGTGGCCCACCAGCGGCCGAGCGGTAAAGTCGCTGAACACTGGTAGTTCGGTCCGAGGTTCGAATCCTGCGAACGGGCTGGCTGCATGGGTGTTTTCGTGGTTTTCCCCATGTGTAACATGTATACGAGCCAGTTTCCCTTAGAAAGTCCTCCACGAAGGCATCCCTTCCCTTAGGCGGATAGCCCTAGTGTGCTTTGCCATAATTAAATACACACACCAACACCACCTTTGTGTAGAGCATAGTGCTTTTTTACGTTAATACATTGTTTGATTTAAAATGCAGTTTATTGAGATTATATATTTTTTGTGCGCAATGCTGAGTGTGTGCAATTCTGTGATTTTTTTTTTATGTGAAAATAGGTCAATGTGTACATGGATACCGAGTTTGTTCAATTCACAGAAATTTCTAAATAAAGTAGCTGGCTATTTTCTTTGTGTAGTGCTTTTTTTGTGTTATTTCATAGTTTGATTTAAAATGCAGTTTATTGAGATTATATATTTTTTGTGTGCATTGCCGAGTTTGTACAATTCTGTGATGTTTTTTCAAGTGAAAATAGGTCGATGTGTACATGGATACTGAGTTTGTGCATTTCTTTGACTTGTTATTTTGGCTTTGTTTAGCGGCAATTTTTGGCACAAAAATCGTGGCTAAACAAAGCTAAAATAACAAATCAAAGAATTGCATAAACTCTGTGTCAATGTACCTCCAAAAATCGCCAAGTTCACCAAGGGGTCACCGTCAAATATAGTTTTACCTCCATTCCTTTTGAACAGCTTTCCAAAGTCCAAGGAGGGTTGTTTGTCACCATTTGAGAAATTTGCTGTTTAAAAAGTCCAAAAGCACAAAATTCTGTGGATCCATCCAAAGATTTAGTAGGATTATCAGTGAAAGGTATGGCCTTAAATACACGCTTCTTGTTCAATTTTTTTATTTTTCGGGAAATTAACAATGAATTTTGATATGTGGCTGCTTGCTTTGTCTTGATGCAGTTCTACTGATTGATGGCACTGTAGGTAAAAAGGTCTTTCTTACTTGGAAAATTGGGTATAAAATATGTTCTGGGTTAGAGTAGATTGAAGGGTGCCACTTGTATTATCGTGAAGTTGTTGTTTTGTTTGTCACCAAGTTGTTGCTTCATTTATCGCCAGATTGTTATTTCATTTATTGCCAGATCGTTATTTCATTTATGGTAACCTGAATAGTTGAATTTTATGGAAACCCTATTGTGATGTAATCATTTGTGTGGTTGTGGTAAATTTTGAATGATGGGAAAGATTTGTAAGGGCTTGTGGTATGTGTTGCTTAGGAAACATGTTGCTTGTTTTGTGGTTTAGACGGTAGAATGGATGAATGTGGTAAGATTAATTTGAAGTTTCTGTACGACTTGGAACAAAAGGAGAAAAGAACATTGATTGACTGCTGTGTAAATGGGGCCTTACTTAGTAGCCATTATAAGTGTCCTGTTTGTAGGAAGGAAATGTGTATGGTTGAATGTTGGAGGATACTGGCATTACAGAGGATATTTTTTACTCTTATTTCTGTGAATTTATGTGGCAGAGCCGATATTCGGATTCTAGTTCAGATAATTTTATGAAGTTTTTGGATGCTGTTAAGGAATTTGTGTGCCACAGACTAAAGACGTGGAAATTTCTAAATAAGGTAAGTGGATATTTGCTTTGTGTAGTGCTTAGATGAATTTCCTTTTTTATGTTATTTTATTGTTTACTTTAAAATGTAGTTTATTGAGATTATGTATTTTTTGTTTGGCTGTACTGTATAATTGGGTGCTTCTTTGACATTTTAAGTGAAAATAGATTGATGTGTACATAGACAAAGGGAGTGTGCAATGCCAAGTTTGTGCAATTCTCTGATTTTTTTTTTAAGTGAAAATACGTCAATGTGTACGAGTTTGTGCAATTCTTTGACTTTTATTTTGTCTTTGTGTAGCAGCAATTTTTAGCGGAAAAATCGCCACTACAGAAAGCCAAAATAACAAGTCAAAGAATTGCGCGAACTCGGTATCCATCAACCGCCCAAAATCACCAACTTTCGCCAAGGGGCACCCGTAAATATATTTTTACCTATGTTCCTGATAATGTGTGGAATTGACCTTAACCCTTTGAGTACTGAATTATTTGAAGATTTTTATACCCATGGGACAGATTTAATTTGTCGCTATATGGATTAATATGTAAAAGTAATACATTTTATTAAAGTAAATGTATTACTTTTACTATATGGATTAATATGTAAAAGTAATACATTTTATTGAAATAGACTTATATTGGTGAATAAATATATTTTTGAAAGAGTATTTTAGTTACAAAATATAAATAAATATATAATTGAAACAAAATAGAAATATTTATATAAAACAAGAACATAATAATTTTGTATGTGGTATTTTTTCAATTGTTTGTGATCAACGTCTATTGGCGGGGGTGCTGCAAACATTAGCGCCTGCTTCTTAAATTCAGATGATGAGTCAGACTCGTCCACCGTAACTTCATCCAAGTAAGCAGATTGCGAGTCTTACTTGTCAAATGTACCCAAAGAGTTTTCTGCACTCTGTATAATTTTTATTGTCGTTAAGTCAAAAACCAGCAACAATCATAAATCCCTTTGTAAAAGTCTCTTTAGATACTTGGAAAAGACTATGTGTCCTTTTTGACTTTGTAGATTTTCTTTTAACGACATTTTTTTTCTTTTCTTTTAAGGAAATTTTTTTTCTTTTTGATATCTTTTTTCTTTTTTTTTTTTTTAATAATCATTAATTGTTTTGAAAAAGTTTCTTAAGAGTTTCTAAAGTTTCTTAACTTTGAACCACGTTCTAAGATTTTTTTCTTCTCTTTGATAATAATAAATGGATCTCTGTTATTGCAGTCATTTAAATATACCCAAGATTCATCTTTTGTGACAACACTTTTTCATTTTTGTTTGAGTAATTGTTTCTCATAGAGAATTTTGCAGCGCATTCTGCTTTCGGCAATATGAGAAAGACAATGCACATTACGTTTTTTTCGCTTTTGTAAGATTCAAATCAGCATTAATCACTTTGTTTACAGTTGACACTGAGCATTTTAATGATTATGCAACTGTCCTTTTTGACTTTGCAGATTTTCTTTTGATGTTAAAATTCTTAATTGTGCAGCATTTGAAACCCTCTGTTTTTCTTGTATATATGTTACGGTGAAACACCAAAATCTGGAGAATGTCAACTTTCACCGGTGAATGTCAACATTCACATAGTCGCTTGGTGTATGTCCGAAATATTTTCCAAATACTCTTATTTCTGACTTACACCGGTAAATGTCGACATTTACCACATACTAATGGTGAATGTTGAACACATAAGAATATTACGTTTTCTTCTCCGTAATTCGGTCGCGAAAAAACGCACTTGAGAAGACTTAAAACGAGAACTTAAGAACATAAGAACTTAAAGCACACTGTACATTCAAAATGAGAAAGGAAAATAATAGAAGTTAAAAACTTTCTTAAATATAGAGTACGTTCTAAAAGAAAATTACGTAATAAAAAACTTACAAAATTACGTGATTCAAATCTTATTTATTGCGACAACTTAAACTATTATGACACTTTGAATTGCACAAGAGCCCTTGCTTTTACAACTGCATTTATGTGTGGAACACTTCCTTTTGCAATGACAGCGTGTACATATACTCCTCTCTTTTCAACCTACACCAGAGCATATCTGTGATTGTCGACATACACCGGTGAGGGTCTGAATGTACAAGAATGCAATGCAATATTCGATCTTTTACCGACGTATTTGGTGAATGTTGACATTCTCCAGTGAAAGTCGACATTCTCCAATTTCGGTCTTTCACGGTAACATACATATTTTGAACAGTTTTTCTCCTTGAAACCAAACTTTGATGTTTTCTCCCCTTTCTTATTGACAATCTATCTGTCGTTCCTTTAGACAGTTAAAAATTGTGGCTTTCACAGCGTTTATTATTAACTAAATAATAATAATTTTCGACGGCAATTTACCCTTTCATAAATATAGTTGCAGTTAAAAAAAATTATCAAGCAGGTGATTTTTTTATAGCAAACCAAAGTCATCTAAAAAATATGCGAACAACGTCTGTATTCTGCTAAAGCATCCAACGCTGCATGCATACTTTGTTATGATTACTTGTATTTAATTATCTCAGTGACCAGGCTTTTAAGGTTTACTTAGGAACTGCTATACTTACACAGTATTTATTAGCTGAACTTGTAACATAGTATTTATCTCGTAAAACAAGAGCAAAAAATAAAAAGTAATGAGATAGTTTGAAAAGTGGCAAAAGATCTCGCACCTAGATAAAACAGTCACTAAGTGAGCCATTTAGAGGACTAAAAGGAAATGCTAGCTAAAAAGGTTGTATTGTCTATTAAAAGAGTTTCTTAAAATACCTGCACCTAATTTGAATATATATTTTTATTTATTTATGTATATGATTTTGCTGTATTTGCAGGCTAAAATTAATTTTAAAATACTGTCTGCTAGTTAATGCCCATAGAGTTAGATGCTTTACATTAAGTGAAATATTGTAATAAAAATATTATTTATAATTTTCTTTGTTACTATTATAGGAAAATCATTACCAGTGCATTGCATTATTGAACAGATCCCAGGTCCTCAAGCATGTGGTCAGTATGTTGAACTTGACAGTTATGCTATTGTTCCTAATGATACTTTATTTAGTGATCTGGTGAGAACAGCACTAGGAAAACTTGGTTATTCTGGTGCACAAATAGTAGGTGCTAAAGGTTAGTTATTTTTTTGTTTTTAATTTTGTGTTTATATATATTTAAATGTGTTTGTGCGAGTATATATGTGTGTGTGTATTGTTTATATTATCAAAGAAAACATTTTACATATTTAACCCATCAGCACCCAGCAGTATATTTTTACACAGCTAGACTAAGCAGCAGTAAAGTGCTTTTAAATAACCTTCAGTGCATTTTAGAGTGACGAAACTACACATGGGTTAAACCCGTGTTTCCCAACGTGGGGCTCACGCCCCACAAGGGCGCAATGCGACTGTTAAGGGGGGCAATTCAAAAATGGACTCTTGCAGATTTTAAGGAGACAAAGGACTTTCTAAGTATGTTTCATGAAGTCAAAATTTTTCGAAATTTCTTTTTTTATTCCCCAAAATAAAGAAAAATGTAAGTGATGTATACGTAAAAAAGTTTTTAAATTGCAGTGCATTTTAAATATTTTATAAAGAATTATCACTGTAGACATGAACATTTAAATGCTTTTAAAGGCATTTAAATAACTGACACATTATACTTTCCAGACGTTTCTCACACTTTTCAGCCAACAAATTTACTTTATTTTTACTGTAGGAATGGCAACCGGTATATTATAGGGAAGAATTTAATCAAGCCATCAATATCAGCATTTAAAACTGTTCTAGAAAAAGATGACAAAGACGTTAAAGCTATGCCACTAAATAACAATACTGTTTGCAGAAGAAAGATTAAATGAGTGAGGATATTGAAATATAACTTGTTGAAAAGCAGAAAACAAGAAAATGTTCGGTGCAAATGGATGAACCAACTGTGAGAGACAGTGAGGCCGTACTTGTAACTTATGTAAGATATATTCATAAAGGGGATTTTGCCGAAGAAATGTTCTGTAAATCATTAGAAAGCACCACTACCTCCAAAGATATTTATAGTAAGCTAAAAAATTACTTAGATATAAAAAAATATACCAATTAAAAATATAATACATCTTGTACTGCAGATGGTGCTCCTAATATGATGGTTAAAAAATAAAATAAAGTACGGAATAAGAAAAAGGGTTGCTTAAAATTGATAAATAATGAGAATCCAGAAATGCTTCTTGTACACTGTGTTATTCACAGAGAAAAACCTGGTAGCTAAAAACAATTCGTCTGTTCTAAATGAAGTACTAAATTTAGTTATAAAGTGTATCAATGCTATTAAAGCTAGGGCCAAATATGAACCTCTTTTCAAGTTATTTTATGAAGAACAAAATGAAGACTATAAACACTTGCACTGAAGTAAGAAGGCTGTTGAAAGGGAACTGCTTGGAAAGATTTTTGGAACTATTTGATACTCTTAGTTATTTTTTAAGCAACAAACCTGAAATGAAAAATCCTTTAACGGATGATGACAAGGCAACTGTGAGCTATTTAGCCGATATCTTTAAAAAATTAAATATATTAAATAAACAACTTCAAGGAGAAAAGAAAACTTATGATGCAAAAGGAAGATATTTGATTTCATTATCTTTGTTGAATTATGTCAGGCATATACTATTTACCACAAAAATTTTGAAAAGTTTCATTGGCTCCAAAAATATGACGTGACTACCGCTATACTTGTTATTGTCGATCATCTGAAAATTTTATTGGCTGATTTAAAAAATTTTGCAACTTAAAACAAATTGATTTTCCTGCTTGGATGATGCAGCCAATGCTAGTGGATTTGGCTGACATTTTAAATATGCAGTAAAAAGAAGAACTTGTAGAAATGCAAAATGATGAGTCAGTTAAAATTTTATTTAATCTAAAAAGAGCGATGACATAGTTTTGTGAGGAAACCAGAATCAGATATCCAAATGCAACAAAATTTGCAAGAGAACTATTGTTACCTTTTCCATCTTCATATTTTACTGAATGCAAATTTAGTGCCATAAATGATTTGCTGCTGCTAAAAAAAAAAAAAAAGGGAAATCGGCTGGATATAATGAAACTGGGATACTTGAGACTCAAGTTATCTAAATTGGAATCTGACATAAAATTTCTTTGCAGCAAGTATCAAGCGCAAGGAACTCACTAAATTTAAATAATAAAAATTACTAATACTTAAAATAAAAAACTTTCACTAAAATGAGTTTTTTCTTAAATTTCAGTTCTCCATGTTTTGAAAGTTCACTTACTGTGTTTGCTCATAAATTTTCGTAGTCATTTCTTCCTCAAAGCTATCATTCAAGTTTCTTTCATGAAAATTTCAATTTTTAAATATTAAAAATTATGTATATGCTAGGGGAAGCTTGAAATTTTTAGAGAGGATTAGGTGGGGCATAGCATAAAAAATGTTGGGAAACACTAGGTTAAACAAAAACAATTGGGAGTTCAAATGTTATGAGCTTACCCTGATTACTGCAATTGTTATCTAGCAACAGGAAAGTAAAATTGGTTCAAGTTTTTCGTAATGCATTTTTTAGCTGTCTCTTCACATTGATTGATTTAACAGTAAAGTAGCATTGATTGAGTTAACAGTATAAAGTAATATAACCAAATTTTATTTGGTTTTATTTAATCCTTATAGATGTAGCTATTTCAGCACGGTGTAATTTTTTTTCAAAATAAATTTAATTAATAGAAATTCACACTCAAATATTGTTGTACTATAAATAGATCACTGAGCATTCAGGTGTTCTTTTCTTCTATTTCAGGCTATATGATAACTGCTTTTTGAATCAGAACTGCCAGAGACAGTGTTCTTTAAAAGACTGAGAGAAGCTGTTAACAAGCTTTTTTTTTTGGCAAAAGTCTCTTAAAAAAAAATCTGTTGCAGTTATTATACATCCATTTCTAAATCTAGATTTCCAATCATATGCAATAAAAATGTACAAAAACTATTGAAATAAATTCATTAAACATCCAAAAAGTTAGAAGAAAAATATACACATAAATTGAACTGAATTTCAAATATATATTAAAAATTACTAAGTATATAATAATAATTAACAGAAAACGTTAATTTTGAACTCCCCAGAGTCAGAAACAAAGGAATAAATCAACTATATAAATAAAGGGCTGCAATCCAGAAAACAAGCAAGACAGTAAAGGTCGCTGTTTGGCGCCAGTAGTGAAACAAATTGACAATGGAAAGTTTGAAATCTCCCAAAAAAGGAATTTTTTACTATAAGATTTAGAAAAGCATTATAATGCAAGTGAGAAAATGGGAAAAAGTAACAAATGTTAGAAAGATTAAAATCTTCACATCATGGGCTTATCATGACGACTTAGAATAGAATAAGTCCTCTGTTCATAAAAGTATAATCGAAGAAAAAGTACAGTAATGTATATAAATACAAATTACACTATAAAATTCTCTAAAACATTCTTCTTTATCTTTATCTTATTTGAGCTTTTTGTCAAAAAATTCCTTACTTTAAATAATTTTATATGGTGTAGACTACTCTAGCTTTTTTAAATAAACTGTAAATAAAATTAATTGGAGTTTCATTTTCTTGTAAAACTTTATTAAAAAGTAGAATTCTTGCTGTTATTGTTAAATTTTTGTGCATACTTTTAAAAATCTGGCAATTTTATTAAAAATTGTATCAGCAGTAACTTTTTCAGAGATGTTGGTATTCCAGTTTATAAGTTTAACTGTAGAAAAATTAAATTCTCTTCTTTTATCAAAAAGTCTCTTAAGATTCTTTCTATCCTAAGTCTGTCTTAAATGCTAAGCTTCAGGCAACCTACAAGTAATTGATTTTTATTGGTCTTGTTAAGTTCTAAACATTTAGAATAGATGTTGCTTATTTCAATAAGATTATCATTGTTGAAAGGAATAATATCATCAATATGTATAAATGTATTTGCAGATTTATTGTAATCATTTTCAGAAAGGTTTTTGAGAAACTCAAATTCTTTAGAAAATAAATAGAGGTTGCATGAGTGAGTGGAATAAGAACTTCCCATTATAGTACCATTTGTTTGTAGATAAAGAATGTTTGCATGCTGCTAAAGTTATTAAAAATTGAGAAATCTTTCCATTTTTGTAAACCTAGAATAGTAAATATTTCAGGGAAAAAAAAAAAAAACTGGAAGTTCGAGAAGACTTTCATAGATTTCTTTAAGTGGATTTCTTTTAAGTAAAGATTTTTAAATAGCAGTTGATATTGTAAACTTTAACTTTTTCAGTCATTTCAAGTTGTTCTCAATAATGCAACAGTAGTGCTTAAGCATTAGCCATATCAAAAGCTAAATTACATATTGATTTAAGTAGATTAGTAAATATATTATCAAAATTCTTCTTACAGATTCTGCTACTATTTGGTGTAAATCTAAATTTTACAGGATTTTTATGAAATTTTGAAATATAGTTTACAAAATCTGGTGTTTGTAGTATAACAATAAACTTTACATTTTTATGAAAAGCATTCTTTTTGGGGGGATTATTCACCTTTCTTTATTTTTGGAAATACTCATAAAATACTCAAAGTGTTGCTTGCTTTATCAGTTTTGGCAACAGTAAATTATTTTTTCAATTTCAAAAGCTTCTGAAATAAGTCTTTGCAATTTTTAATTCCTTTAAATCCTTTGATTTTATCAATCACTATATTCTTATTGCTTTGTCCTAATATTTCATTTTTCCATTCTTTAAAATGATGAGTTGGTAAACTAAGTAGAAAACTTTCTTTCAAGATGAAATTATCAATATCTGCTGAAATACTTTTGAAACAATTGAATTTAGGAATATATTTCACTGATCTATTGTACCTTTTTTCAAAACCCACTTTAATTCTTGATCTTGTACAATGTGTAGTTTCCTGTAATTATATCTTATGTTGTTCATCCACATATGGAAGAAATATTTTTTCATTGCAATGTCAGGTTGCAGAAAATTCTTCTCCATGATGGTTGGTAATGTAAATACTCAGTTTTTTGCTATACTTAAAGCAGGCAATCCTTTTAAACTGCTGGAAATTTTTGTTGAGCTTGTTTAGTAAGCTCTTATGTATATTGAGATGATCAAAACTTTTATGAAGAAAGTTGATACTACAGAAAATTCTTTTGTACTAATGCAAACAGTTAAGTTTAAATTTGATAAAGTACTAAATCTTTGATATGGTTATCTACCATAAACTTACTTTTAAAGAGATTTTAAATGAAAAGTAGATGCCTATGAGGAAATTAATAAAGGTTGTCAAGAATATTCTTCTTAAAATTAGGCTTATCAAACAAATCCTGGTATTTTGATTGACTGTAGTGAAGTAGTATTTGTAGAACTTTTAAGTTTCTTGCTTTTTCCTCTAGTTCTTCTTTGTGTGTTCTTGCTGAAAAGACTGAATTGTTTGTATTATTATTATTGAGTGTAGCATTTAATCCATGTGGATAAAGTGTTCTGAATTGTAAAATATAAAGAGATTCCTGACATGTATATTATATATGTGAAAACTGAGTTAATATGAAATAAATGCATCCCAATGCATTAGATTTTCTTTTTGTTGTTAATATCATATTGGGTACAAGAGGAAAATTTTAAAAATCCTTAATAACATATTGAGCATTTGTGAAACACTGCGATGCACTCCCCCTTCCTCCCTCCCAAAACATTATTCCATAATTAGTACCTAAATGTAGAATATAAAATAAATTAAGAAAGAAAAAATAAATATTTTAAATTACATGAAATCCTGTCATCAAACAAGATTCAAGTCATAACAAGCAGATATGAAGATTTATTAATAGGTTTATTTTTCCTTATAACAGGCTAGAAACTATTTTTTTCCTTAATTCTGGAGAATACATATGAAAACATATCAATAAAAAACATGATACTTACGTACTATTGCAACCATCTTAGTAGAAGTAGCCAAATTTTCCGAAAGTGCCAAACTCTGGCAACCATGCTCATAACAATAATTTCAGTCAAGCAATACCGCCATTTTCGTATGAGTTCTTTTTTGTTGTATTCCAAGTTCCAGTGGTTTTTATGCACAAATCGTAATATATTTCGCCTTTTTCGCCCAATATGTTGTTAACAGTTGGCTTTTAGTTCAGTGGCCTGAATACTTATACGACATACATTCTTAAATATTTATCTATATGTAATATAAAGCTTTGATTTATTTATATAATTATTAGTATACAAATATTTGGTGATAAACTTTGTATATTAAACTTAGTTTTAGAGGAAAAAAGAATAGCTGAAAAATGTTTGATTTGAAATTCTTCTACAAAACTAACAATCTATTATAAAAATGCAATTTTTATAATATATTTTATGATTATTTTTGAATACATTAATCATCTGTGTCACTGAAAAGATAATTAAGGCTAATTCTACAGCTTTTACTTTCAGGTTCTATTCAAATCAAAAAATGGAAGTCTCTAGCTTTCGATCAAATAACAGAAAATCCTGAAGCCACTGTTGCTGATATACTTGGAGAGCTAACTACAGTAGCTTCACTTCATATTCGTCTCTACAGGTGAATAAGTAGTTCTAGTTGCTAATATCAATTTAGTAACATAATTATTAGATATTTTTTTAAGTTTTTTACATTCTCTAAGTTCAAAGCTTCGCTGTCTAAGCTCTGAGCTACTATGAAGATAGTCAAATGACTTATCATCTCATCTTAAACTTTGAAGTAAAGTAACTTCAGCTCACTAGAAGGTTTTAGGTAAACCTTTTTTTTTTTTTTTCTTTCTTTTTTTCCTTATTATATAATCATCAATCTGATGGTTACACAACCTGTGTAATAGCAGAAAATAATATCTGCGGCTTAAGGAAAAACAGAGCAAATGTAAAATAGAATCCAAACATTAAATTATCAAATAAAGTAACCCTACAAGCTTTCATTTGGGATCTTCACAATCTTGCTAACGATTACAACTAGTGAAGCTAAAGCCAAATAAGCAATATACTTGTTGGGGAAAGTAATAGCTAGACAGTCTGCCATAGTTGTCAGAAGCTCTATCCTGAACTCAAAAACTCTACTTAAATACATTCAATAGTTTTTCTTCATTGCACAAGCCGGGAAAAATACTAAAGACAAAATAATTCAATAATTGGTTAATAAACATAAAATTGTTGAGTATCCCACCCTATTATTACCCTTACCAGAATTTAAGTAATTTGAAAAGAAAGACCTTGGTAGGGAATTTTTAAAATTTAGATTGAACAGAAGCTTTCACAAAGCTCATACATCTTTGGGAAAACAATTTCACTTTAGTTTGGAATATCAAGAGTTTCTTCTAGATTTTCTGGAAATAAAAATGTTTTGCTACAGTATAGTATAAACACTTTCATTCAAATAGACATTTCTTGTTGCATTTATATTACTTAAGAGTATACTTTAATTATTTTTTCACTCTCTAGTATTATATTGTGTGAAATCTGGGTGTTATTGTTATCTATGAACAACTTTTACCTCTTACTAAAATTCCTATATGATCAGTTTTCTCAACACACTAGATGTTAAAGACACTTTCAAAATTGAATCAAATGTTTACCATTTAAATTAATATCAAGTCCGTTTATTTCTAGAGAGCCTTCCATTAAATTTGTAATGTATTTTGTTTACAGTAACTCTTTCATTGTCTTTGATAAATTATTTTAGTTCTGCTTCAATTTTACAATCTGTTCATTAGATTTATAAAATTTCTAATTCCATGCGATAAGTTGCTGTTGTTCATAATTGCATTTCTATTCTAACTGTTTGCAATGTTATTAACACTGAGAAAACTCGGGTTTTTGGCCGTAACTGTATTATGTTTGTGAACAAAACATTCTAACTGCTATTTAAAATTCCGAAATCCTCACATGAGATAAAACACAGATACTAGTGGCTTAAAGTATTTTATAAACTCTGCTACAAATTTTAATATTCTATAGAGATTTTTGGCTAGGCTTAGCCACAATAGAATGCTCCACCAATCGAGTATAAATGCTGATAGTCATGTAACAGACAGTATACAACTCATCTGTTAGTAAGTAAGCAAATGGCTTGAAGTACATGTATAAAAGTAATCTAAGTTTCATTTAATTGAAAAGGCATGAATTTATAGCTAGGCTAATGTGCATTCTTTGATCGATAGATTTCCTCCAGCTGGCAAATCTATACAGGAAATATAGATTCTTCTATGCTATTGCACAGACTTCTGGTTGTGATCTTCCTCATATTGGCTTTCGAACATTGGTGATTTATTACATAAATTTTTTAGGATCTCTTTGGGTTTTTCTGGGTCTTGGCTACCTTGATTACTTTTTTCAATCCTAGCACAGCCTGTTGGAGGGTCATTTACGTCTCTCAAATTTGTCCAGGACTTTGGCTGCCTTGATTCCTTCTTCCTCTCTTGGTGTGGTTAGTTATGTTATGCCTTAGATCTCATTATCTTCTTATCTTCAGGTTATCTTGGCAGTTTGCAGTCTGGACTCTACACTGATGTATTGGGTTGATGTGAAAGTTCATCTCATTTTTTTAGATGAAAGAGAACAGTGTATAAAAGAAGCATAACACATATATGTATTCACCTAATTGCCAGTATTTACTATGACCTCATGCTTGTTTGAAGATCCAAGGAATTCTATAATGTTGAAAAAAGGTGACAGTCAAAGAAACAAAATCTGGAGATAAGGTAAAACTCACAAATCAAAATCAAGTAGTTTTTTTGAGTAATTAAAGCAGCATTATATTGTAAAGTTTTCACGTAGTTCATGAAATAGCATTCCTTGGAAGCTGATAGTGCTGAGCATTTATATGTATCAGTTTTTGTGCAAGTTTGCCCAACTGTTAGTGGTCAGTATATGTAACCATTAATGGTTTGATTACATAGAAGCTAATCTCAATGGAGTATCCCCTTCATATTCTATCATACACTTAACAAAATTTGTTTGGCATGTAGTCTTTTTTAGTCAAAATGGGGTAATTTGCCCAGAAAGACTATTAATTTCGTTTTGGCATTTTTGCGTTGATTCACTATAAATGTCGATCCACTTTTTAAATTGTTGCCAACAAATATTATTGCCCTGTGTTATATTTAAAGAAATTAAATAATGAAGAATCTGTATAAATATGTGTATTGTTTCTCACAATGTGATAAAACAACGGTATCTAGAGCCATCAAATTTTGAATAACGTAATCTTCCATAGAGTATGACTTTTTGCAACAGACTTTTGCAAAATATAGACCTTTTGCAACAGAACTGAAAGTAAATGATGATTCTGATCTGGTAGCATGATAGTTCCGTTTCCATGATAACTATACTTTTTCACAAATTTCACAACACAGTGTTCTAAAGCAAGTTTCTTTCAAATGCTAAAAATTGTTTGATAAAATATGATTAAAAATACCAATGTAAACTGTTTATGGTGCAGATGATGTTTGCAGTGGTGAGAAACTTTCGTTAAAACCTGATATTAATACTGATAACAGATTATCTCCTGAAATCCAGAATCGGGTATATCTGGCAAATAACACTTTCTGTGAACTGAAAAAGGTTTTTCATTTCTAGGTTTCTTTCAAGAGAAACAAAGTTTTTAATTTACCAAACACTTGTCAGACCTCTTTGACATATGCTTCTGAAACTTGGATAATGACAAAACTGCAAGAGAGTCATATTGCATCTTTTGAAAGAAAAATTCTATGGAGTATTCTTGGTGGTATAAATGTATTTGGTAGATAATGTATTTGGTCAATCCAGAAACAAGCCGTTTATGGTCACAAAATGTTGGTAAAGAAGAATTTCCTATCTTAGAAAGGTTTTTGAAATTCTTAAACTCAAGATAGGTTTCACTCGAAATGTTAAACACTCGTAATACTGAAAAGCGAGTATTGCATAAAAATGAGTGCTCTGTTTCTAAAAGTGTTTCACATAATAATGAACATTGTTCTAAAATGTCAGCACTGGAATGGTTTTCATACTTTATCAAAGTGTTATAAATTTAAAGATGCATATATTATGGGAAAAATATCATCCAGAAGAATTTATTATGCTTCAATTGTTTTGGGAATCATATTTGGTAGATTTGGTATAAGTAATATTTGGTAGAGGTAATTTTGAGCTTTACAAGATGTATAGCTTCATATCCTAAAATATATGAAAATTAACAGAATGAATTGGATGGTTTATATGATTTAAGTGCAAAAGGACAATTGCAAAAAAAGGTTCTCCTTTTTAAACTCATTGGAACCCAAAAGCAGCAAAGACCATGGCTGAAATGGCCTGATTAAGTACAGTGTCAAATTTTCCAACAATTAATGAAAGAAGCTAGAGATCAAAGATAACCAAAGAGGCATTGTGAAGAAATCATCAAAGCTAGGCATTGGCCCACAGTGGGCTGTCTGTCCACCTATGATGATGAAGATCTGTCATTAAGTTTTTATTTGGATGTTTTTATACACCTAGATTGTTAGTTACAGAAAAGTCAAGTTTGTCATTATTTTGGCATTCTTAAATAGAATATTGAAATCTCATATTTTTCAAAACTCTGTTAATATTATAAGGTGTTTGAGTATGTACAGTATTGCCACCTCCCATAAAATTCATTCTATCCAAACTTATTAATCCTGTTATGTATGCTTATAGAATCTGCATTAAACATGTCTTTATTTGTTTTAACTATATTATTATTGCTTTTTATTTAATGCAGTAATAGATAAAAATAAAATTAATCATCATGTTACTTTTTGCCCATAGTGTACCCGATAATCCTCAAGAATGGATAGATATTACAGTCAGAAATGCAGTTCTTGAACTTTTAAGAGAAATGTCCCAGAGCAAATTGGCCAAACTCTGTCCGCTATCTCAGGTCAGTTTAGTTAAATCTATGTACTGTTCTTATAGTATAGAAAAAAAAGCGTATTAATAATAATAAAAACTGCATTCCTATTTTAATGAAAAGGCAAATGATAATATGTTTCTCAAATTTCTTTCTTTGTAACTAGATACAAAAGAGGTAAAACATTATAACCATTCATTGTTACTCAAATGGAAATTATTGTAGTAAAGGTATGTTTGCATAAAGGAGTCTATATTAAATTAACTTTTTAGTTTATGCATTATTCTTATTTTTAAAGTGGTTTCATGATTTTTTCTGGCCAAGGCTTATGAACTTTTATTAATAGCAAATTATCATGATTAGACAATTAGGTAAGAGCATTTTAAAAACAGAAAGTCTGTTCGAGTGCTGTTGTTTAGCTATAGTTAGTGTCCTTTAATACTGGTCTTAGAAAGGAAGACCACGATGGCCTGTGGTCAGTCTAGAAGGAATCTGATGAGCTAATGCCATTATTTGTGGTAGAAATAACAATCATGTATTGTCCCATGTTATTCTTCTAACAGGTTTAAAGTTAACTATTATTGGTTAATATCAGGCATTAAGGCTTCATTTTTTAGTATGAGAAAAGAAAATAAATGTCATTAATAACTTTAATTACTTGTATGGGAATAATTAATAATAATTGTTATATAGTTCTGAAAATGTTTCTGCATAGTATGCATATCTAATTATTTATACACAGTTCCATTTTGGTATAAAATATGTTTGTAATGAGCTTTTGAGCATCAAGGATTTTGAGTAGTTGAAAGAAAGTTACCAAACCAAGTGAGCTTCATTTTCCTCTTGTGTCATGAAAATTTGCCAAACCATGTGAACTTCGTTTGGCAGAAAATATTTCCAACAAAATAAACACAAGTGAATCGAAAATGTGAGGAATTTTTACTGATGAAAAGCCTTTACCCTAGACATTCAAAATAGAAAGTTTAACAATTATCATTTATCTAAATATCGGCACATGTCAGTTACATCCTTTCATGGCAGCTGTATTCCCTTTTTGAAAATACTTCAGTTCAACAACATAACATATTATTTCACTCTGACTAAATTTTTCAGAAGACCATTGAACATCAAGAAGAATTTCACATGTTCTTTAGCCTCCAAATTCCTTAGACATCAGTCCATTCAAATATCTGAGGAATGCAAATATGCTGAAAATAGCAAATAATGTATATGTTGTAAAGAGCAAATGCGTAATGGTTCAGTCTTTTAATCTGATGTTAAAAGTTTTGTTGTTCACATATTACAAGACACCTGTAGAAATATTCTTAACTTCCATGCCTAGTTCGCTAAGTACATCCATATCTGGTATTTTAAAGGCACTTGCAGAACCACTACCATATCATTTAGTTGGTCATAATATTGTAGCTCTTTTGCATGTATTTGTTGTCATAACAAGCATATTAATTTTTTACTGATGTAAATTTCCTCTCTAAATGCTGTGATAAATTATGTAATAATTATAAATCTCATTTTAAATTTTACTGTCAAAATTTACTTGAAAAGGCGTATGAATTTATTACATCTAAGTTTTATAACCTGTTTCTATCAAGAACTTGACACATAACAAATTATGGATATTTTTCTGTTATTGTGGTTTAGAGGGAAAAATTGAGTTATTTCAGTTATGGAGAAAAAAGACGGTTATAGATATACGCAAGCAGTTCATTCATGTTCATCATTCATTCATCAATGTCCATCCTAATTTATGCATACATAAATACAAATCTGTGTTTATTATTTTGTTCACTATATTTTGTGAGCAATTTATTTAAAATAAATAAAATATAGAAACATATCCAAAGTTCATTTTAAACAGATCATAATTTAGCAAATACTGTTAAAATTGCATCAAGCACATTTTTATGGCTGATATTACGCCTGAACATAAAACTACAGCATTTTTTTCTGTTGGTAGAAAATATCAAGCATATTCAATATTTAGCAATGAAAATCTAAAAAAATTTTCATTTGTTGAAAAAACATAAACTATGTGCACGAAGCTGTTATAACAAGGTAGTACCCAATAATTTTAACATATAAAATATTATTAAAAATTTTTTTAAGTTTAACATGAATGTAGTTTTATTGAAAATTAATGTGTCCAAATCTAATAAATTATATAAATACAGTGGCACCTTGGTATACATCTAACTTGGTATATGTCCTGTTTCGACATGAAATTTTTGTTTGGAATGTGACTTAAGTTTGATGAGTTGACTGCATGCACTACACTTTTTACTTCTGTCAAGACAGTGCGACAACTGCCCATGAGTATCAGTACAACTGTTGCCACTATTCGTTAAGCAGCACATGCTCTGAATTTTCAAATGATTTTTGTTTTTTAGTATAAATTCATTAATAATGAGTTTCAGAATGTTAATGAGAAGAGTTAAACAATGAAGAAATTGACAATGATGCTTGGTGAACATAGGCACACGAATGGAACGTCTGCTGCGCAGTCCCATATCCAACAGTTCCACTGAACTGTGTGTTATGAAACACCTGCAGTGCACTGTATTGGGCTGACAGCTGAGCCACAGTCTGGCGACGTTTTTACTGTACCAATCAGGATAGTCTCTGATTGGTATAGTAAAATCCTTTTTTTTTTTTTTAAATTACGTATGGACGTCCAACACCTTGGCATATACTCCTGCTGGTTTCAACATCATTTATTCACTTTGCATAAATACTAACAACCACGGATCGTGAACACCATACCAGTCGTACAATTTCAGTGATACTTATTGCAAGTCTTCGGGCCATTACAATCGGGCCTCTATCAGATTCACTCAGATCAGCAGCCTTTCCTATCACTCACAAAATTAAGTGCAATAATCATTCCTTACTTTCTGCAGCAGCAGTTAAATACCTTTCCCACTTATTCACCTGCCCTCCAAGTCATGCAGAAAAGTTTATTGAAAAATGTAAGGATGGTCATAATGTTTTGGCTCGCCAGTGTATAGAGCTAATGCTTACTTTATTAATCATGTTTTAAGTTCATTCAATATGATAAACTGAAGTTCTTATGTGTAAAATGAAAGAAGCTAATATTACATTAGAAACATTAACTTGTATATTGTAGGAATCAAACACATTATTTTCGATTGAGTTATTTTTGTTATATATATATATATTGTATTTTATGCCTTCTGCTTTGTGCACTGTGACTTCGAATACTAGATTCTAAATAGCATTAAAATATGAATTTTCTCTTTATTTCTTTTTTTCACATGAGCTGTTAAATAATAGTTTACAAATTGTTTTAACCAAATAATGAATTTTTATCATACAGTACAAAGTCCAAGATCCAGACGTGCAGTATCTGGAATTCTTTAAAATCCAAACCTTACAGCCAACACCAACAAATATTTTTTAGGAATTTCGTTTTATGCTTTACACATACCTCATTATTGAAGAAACAGTTATTTTAGCATAAATTTGCGTGATCATTAATTTGGCTCCGGTAGCTGCATATCTGCTTGGCATATGTCTCAAACCGAAACATTCTACTTAGAAACATCGTTAATTTAACTACTAATATTTTATATCCCTGACACCAACCGAGCGAATCATTATTTATTATATTTTACTTTCATCACCATATGTTTATCAACAGGTGAGAGCTTGAGTAATGACTCAAGCAGTGATGCCTAAACAATTTTTTTTTGCATTACTATTTGAATAACAAAGAGTATGGAAACCTTTTATGTTGACCATACCTTTGGCGATGATTACGGATTTAAGTTAAATGCACTAAATGTTAACGTGGAAAAATGTAACAACAATGTCTTTCTATATGCTAATAATAGATTTTGTTAATGATACTTATAGGCCAAAGGATTACATTTAGTGCTATTTGAACTAGGAATAATTGATTTTTTTATTCACATAAACCCAGTATGTGTGCCAGAGATCGTAGGTGTGCGGAAAAAATGTCAGCTGGAAAAAAGGGAAATGGAAAGAATGTCCCCGGAAAATAAGGAATGGAAAAAAAAGGAATTGTAAAATCTTGCCAAAAAATATCGCCAATGTGAGTTGGAAAAAACAGCCAAATTCTCATTTAACCAGGAGAGTTATAGCAGGCTGTCTTGAGAGAGTGTTAAGTGCAAGATGCTGAGCTAGTTGCACCTTACCAAGGTCACTTAGAAAAGAGGTTTTTTTCAAGATGCATCTGGGAAGATCTCATTTCTCCCACACTTCCCACCATTCTGAAAAGAGATCCAGTTTCAGGGTAGGTCTCCCAGATGAAAAGAATCAATGGGGAAACAATTTTTCTGCTCTAAGATATTAATGATTACCATCTGTGGAACTAAATGATTTCATCTGTCCCTGACTGAAAACTAGCAGTTTGTTCACTGCTCGATTTAGTCCCTTATTTATGTTGCCATTAAAGGCTGGAATTCGCTGTTTCATAAAATAACTATATTTCATGAATTACCTTAATGAAACAGTTAAAGTATATAAAATTATTGGATTCTGTGATATAACTAGTTATTTTATAGAATAATGATGGCCTAATTGTTATGAAATACTTTTGTTATTGTAATTAGAAAATGCCTGATCATTAGCAAAGATGGCATAATTAATCAATGATTTAACGTGCATCGTACTAAAAAAATAAATAAAGAGCTATGAAGAATGCTGTCTTAGTACTTTAGATGAAAGAGAAACCGTGTTTGTTTTAAACAATACATTACAACTGAGATTCTTACAAAATGTCTGTATGTTTAACCTGAAAGCAAAACATCTGAGATATTTACAAAGTATCAGTATGTTTAAGCTGAAAACAGAATAGTTTGCAAACTGAAAATTATGTATTACATAAGCAATTTCATATCATAATAGTATTGTGATGAAAAGATGTTGACAGTGTGGGGAAGACTGTTCATTTAAAGTCAAATACTTTCTTTGAAAGGTGCCACTTCCTTTATATGCTGAAGTATTGTTATGGAAAATATTTTTTGCTTTGGCATATGCTCAGAAGGTTTCATGAAGTGTTGTACCATTGCAATGTTACAAATGCATCCTCATTGAATGAGTCAGTCTTCTGAATTCAATGCTAGTTGAAAATTATGTAAAATAATTTAAAATTGCAGAATCCTAACCAAAAATAGCTGGGGATAATATGCAAGTAATAATATATAAGTATAATATTTATTAGTAATTCTGGAAATTTGAAAATGATACATTTTTAATTAGTTTTATTTTAAGGAAAGTCAAATGTTCTTTTTCAACATATTCGTTAGCTGAAACAAACGTTTTACTACTCTTTTACTTTCATATATTTAGGAAAAGTGAATTTAGGAGAATAGCAAGTCATAGACAAACATTTATTTAAAAAATTCATGTGTAATAATTTATACTTCAATTATGGAACTGTGTTTCTGAAAAATAATTTTTTATTTGATAGTTTAACATTTTGTAAAATATTGTTTCTAAATTTTAGCCTATGCTTTCAAATATTATAAACAACAGATATATGGGGAAAATTGGAAAAGAAAAGTGTCAAGAATTTGGATTGTGGTATTTAACTTATCGAAAGCAACATCCTGGTAATACTTTATAATTTATAGAATTAGCTTACTTTTCTTCATGTAATTCTTAAATTTTAAGTTTCTTGTTATAATATCTGTATTTAGTAAATGAAAACTTTTGGTACCATTCGGTTTTGAGGACCGTAAAAAATCGCCAAACTATTATTCATGCCAGTGCTGCCAAAAATAATTGCGGCAACCCTAACGCAAGAAAGGAAGTATAATAGTAAATAACTATCTTAAGTTTATTGTTTTAATTTAGATGAAAGGTTAATTTCATATAATACTTTTTTTATTATTATTATTTATATAAAAAAAAAAGCTAAACATAACTGAATGGATGCCTGCATCGCTATTTCGCTACCGAGTTATTGTTAAAGCATAATTTCATCTCGTTGGTTGTTCAAACGTAATTTTCTATAATGAATGATGCCTTTTTCTTTGACAAAATTCTCGGTAAAGAGCAGCATCGCCCACTTATTTGTTTGGCACTTTTTACAAGAGTAAAAACAATTGGATTTTTGTCAATTTTCTTTTACTTTTTAAGTGAAAATAGGTCGATGTGTACATAGATAAAGTCAAGGGTGTGCGTAGTGCCATTTTTGTGCAATTCTGGGATTTTTTTTTTTTTAAGTGAAAATAGGTCAATGTGTACATGGATACCGAGTATGTGCAATTCTTAAAAACGCGATCTTAAAACAATTCCCAAGTTGTTAAATCCATAGGATATCAAAAAAGGATTTAAAAATTAAACTAGTATTTCAATGGCGTCTTAAGAAATATAGAACTATCTAAACTTACACAATTTGAAATGAGCGCATACACTAGATTTGGCGCACTGTTTAAATGGGTGCATTTGCTAGATTTGGCGTTTTTGTGCAAACATTTTCGCTGCAATTTTTTACGGTCCTCAAAATGGAATAGTACCAAACTTTTTAAATTTTTGTTATTTATGAAAAGCATATCATTGGAAGCATTTATTGTTATATTACAGCAAGAAAAAAATATCATTCAAATTTGGTACTCTAAGCATATGTGTAAAATTATGTATTGAATGGAAGCTGAATTTTTAATTACTTGTTTCACTAAATGTGCATTTAACTATATATTAAAGAGTATTAATTGAAAACAGGCTGGCTAATGAACTTTTAATATGAATAGTATGAAATAATATAAAGTGAAATAGTATGAATCCTATAACATATTGAAATGTTTCTAAATGTAAAATTTTGTTAGTGAGATCTAAAGCTTAAATTATCAGGGTATTTCATACCTGCCAACTGTCCCAGTTTTACTAGGAGACTTAATTTTTCATTGCTTCATCTGATAAATTACCGAATTTCCTAGTTTTTAATTTTAACCACTTATTTCACCGTTAACAACACATCTTCGTCCTTTCACACATCAAATGGTCAATAGGATCATGTGAGGTATTTGGTGAAAAAGAATCCAAAAACTTTTTTTACATTGAAAATGTTGTACCCATGTAAATGCCATAAAACCATTGTCATCATTGGGATTATTGACCTAGCCAATATGAAGCAAAGAAATCTTTTCCCCCTTGCATTTGTTTGCACATGCTGTAATATTTTTAATTTGCAGTTAGTTATCAACTAATTAATTTTACATATGTCATTAGTTATGAGTTTTATTTTTATATGATATTTATATTCCATTTTTATATGAGAGTCCAGTTTGTTACTATAAAATAGTATGCTTAAATAAATAAATAAGGTGCTCAGACTACTCCCCTCAAATCAGAATTTTTATGTGTAAGAAAGGGAAAAAAATGCCTCTTCTTCCTTTCTTTATGCCCTCCTGAAGATAAGTGCATAGCCCTGGAAGAGGAGAAAGTGTTTTTTTTTTTGTGTGTGTGTGTGTGTGTGTGGTGTGTGTGAAGGAAGGAAAAGGTGCCAAGATGTTACATGAATCACTTGCAATGACTGAAACAGAGACAGGAAATATGTGTGTTAAAATTCCGAAAAATCTATTAAACTTAAGATGCCAGATGTCAAAGTAATTTTTCAAAAACTCTCAAAATTTTTTATTATAGATGTTTTTTATATGCTTAATTTTAATATGGAGTAGGAGATGCAATGTATATATGTATAGTATATATAGTGGGTAAAAACTTTAATTTTTTTTAAAATTTATCTTGTTAATAAATCACCAGAATAATTTATATTTTCAAGCATTATTATTGTTTTGGGGTGGTAAGAATTTGGAAAGGTTTCATCATTGTTAGAAGTAAGTAATTTTTTTTTTTTTTTTTTTTTTACTTTATTCAAATAAAGGAAGCTTGTTTTGTTTCTAATAAAGAAAAATGTCAAAATTTGTGTGGTTATCCCTTTGTTTTATCTTAAAATTAACTTAAAAGTATTGCATTAAAAATGTGAAATTTGAAATCTAAACTGACCTAGCTTTTGAGCAATTTGGATTTTTAAACTTTATTGTTTGTAATTATTTAAAAAAATGTTTCTAGTTTCTCCTCTCTCACATATTTTTGTTTTCAGAAGGTTCAGCTCCTGAAGTAGTTCCTAATGACCGTCCTGTAGATGGTCGTTTAACATTTCATCCAACAAAAGAACTTCCAGTTATGAGAGATTGGTTTCATAGTTGTCGAAATCCATCACGAAGAATGTTGCAGATGTATGTTGATATTCTCAACCAAGGACCTGTAAGACAGCAAGAAAGGTATAAATATATAAATTAAAGTAATAACTGTAATAGCTATCCTTTTTAATTTGGTTACTTGGCCTTTCCACTGTAAAAATTGCAACTACTTATAATAAATCTCTCTAAATTCCATCATGTAAAAATCAATGTACCTCGCAGCGCTCGTGACACAGATACTTATATCATGCTTCAGCTAATAATAATTTCAATTGGGCATACTGAAACTTAAAATTAACCTATCAAAATAAAGCTTAATTGAAACTAATTTATTCTGAATCACGCTTTCACCATGGACCCATTGCATTGTTTGCCTTGCTTCCATCCTACCAAATTACTTCTTCTCTGCTGTAGTGCTTTCTTTGCTCCATCAGTATTAATTGTTACAAAGATGTAGAAAAGTCAAAGTGAACATTTAAATTTCATCAATTTCACTGTGTAATTCAAACTAAGAATGTCTTATCAAGAATAAAAAAAGTGTTAAATTGGCATGACTGCGAATATCTTTAATGCACCAAACTCCATTGCTCTGTAAATCACATTCTGTGCTGCATCATCAACTTCTAACACATCACATACAAGGTGTGACCAAAAAAAAAAATTGAGACTGTCCAATAAATCATTGTACTTACAGAATCAGTTCTCTGTGACATTATCACCTTCAAAGTAGTTCCTTTCCACATTCACACACTTCTGCATTCGGTGCTGCCATTGCCAGTAACAGTTCTGGAACAAGGTTTTTGGAAGGCCCTTCAGGAGATTCTCTGTTTTTGCCTGAATCTCATTGGCTGAGGTTAAATGGGTTACCTTTAAGTAAGATTTATTTTTAGGAAATAAAAAAAAAGTCGCAGGGAGCCAAATCAGGGGAATAAGGAGGATGACCTATCACAGTAATGTTTTTGCTGGTCAGAAGCTGTTTGACAGATAGGGCTGTGTGATCATGTGCAACAGCCATCCATCACTCCACAACTATGGCCTTTTTTTTTTTTTTTTCGTAATTTTTTCACAAAGTCTTTTTAGTACTTCAATGTAGTAGTATTGATTAACAGTTGGACCACTGGGAACCCATTCAGTTATGATAAACGTGCTGAGCATTCAACATCTTCCACACTGTCTTCCTGAAAATTGCTTATGCCATTCAAACATGGATGAAACAGTTTCATCTCCTATGAAATGTTTCCTCCATGGCTGATTTCATACGTTTTGCAAGAAACTTATTGTTGATTCTCTGTTCAATTTTTACATGAGACATTTTTCCGGCAGATTGCAGTTGCGCACGTTCACTCAATGACACAGTACTCCCCACTGACGTGGTCGGTTAAGTTGAAACTGGCCACATGGATAGAGGAGCTGTATGGCATGATGTTACTAAAACAATTCTTGCCAACTTCACTCTCTTTTCAAGCTACACACAAGTTTCTTTTTTCTATGTGTGTCACTTCGCGTATATATATATATCAATGTTTGTTTTTTCTTTTTTTAAATTGTGCCAAAATATCATTGAAGGAATCTTTGAAGTGGACAGCTATCCACTACTTAAAAGCAGAACAGAATGTAAATGCTAAGGTAGCTGAATGTTTCAAAACAAAAGGTTTTTGCATTTTAAAAATAATTGAAAATCTAAAAATATTACTAGTGTAATAGAACTGTTTGTTTGTAACTAAACTATTTTATCAAGTGCCATCTAGTGGCAACAAGAACAATCTACAGCAGTTGACCTCCAACTCTGATGAAGATAAGCTCCCCAATATTATGTCTTGAAGACTTGAACATTAATTCTGAATGTTAGGTGTTCTGTCGTGTTATATATTTTCTTTGTAACAGTTTATGTGTTCTGTTAATAAACATTTTTAGACCTAGCCAGCGTATGTGTTTATAGAAGAATGGTTACAAAATGGCGGCCAATGAAATGTTGAAAATTTCTGTTTGGCTTTAAAAAGCCTTTACCCTCCAATTTAAGTTTTGATTGCTGGAGATCAGCTCAATCTCTTTTCAGGTGTGAACTGCTGATCCAAGTAAGTTTGGAAACCAAATTTTGATGTAAAAATATTTTTTTACATCAAAATTTTGTTGTACTGCTAGCACATTGAATGAAAAGTGAACAACTTTTAAAGGAATAAAAAAAGATAAGTTTCTTTTAAGTTATTCTTTAATTTAAGTTTAAAATTCTTTTTTAATTTATTATTTTTTATAAACTTCTTAAAGCAAATGTAAATTCCTTATTGAAATTAGATTTACAGATGCTGCATAAAAGCATTAGATAAAAATCAACAGCTTTCTTTAACAAGAAGGTTACTTTTAAACTTTGGTTAATTAGTTACTTTAAATTGTTTTAACATGCATACTAAATTAAATTATGGCTTCTGTTAGCAAACTGAATGCATATTCTAATGATAAAAGCTTGAATAGATTCAATGATATTGTTGATTAGAATTTATCATTTTCAATTCTCAGTAAGAGCAGGAGATGGTTTTCCTCTTCCCTTTCACCATTGAATTCTAGACTAGATGATTCATGAGGTGTTGGTGTCACAGGAAATATTATAATCTGAAAAAATTCTGGGTACCATATTTCAACGAAAATATCCATTTTGATCGCTATCGAATGCAATTTAATGATGTTTTTGCATGTACATAAGGACAGAATAAAGGACTCTTTGCCCCAAACAAATTATAAAACTGATTTAAAATGGATTCAAAAGATATTTTTTCATGGCATCTGTATATATGTATGTATGTATCTATCTATCTCACATAACTCAAATAGCCTTAGAATGTTGAAATTTTGTATGTGGGACTGCTATAACATGTAGATGTGCATTTCCCTCTTTGGTTGCAATTGGCCACACCAAAAATATATAAATATACATATCCACTCTGTTACTCGGCTCAGTGAGCTCAGTTTCTTTATTTTTATATATTTGTAAATTGCACATTTTTTTCTTTAAAAATGTTTGAATTATGTTGTTCTTATCTTCCAGTTAAGGTTTTTATGCTTTTCGTTAACCTGCATGTTAAAGTTGTGGAATTATCAACAATTTAAAAAGTTGTTTAAGTATGGCTAAGTCTAATTTTTTTACCATAGCAGCCATATTTGTTTACATTTGAAATTTAGCAGAATAGTGGATTTGTTGCCAATCTAGAGAAACTAAGTTTCACAACAACGAAGTACCATCTTCTTTTATCATTGCGAATTAAATTATGCTTAATCCATTCTGAAATTATCATTTAAGTTATTAAATTAACCCATATATTGACTCAGCACAGCGTCCACAGGAAATTAAGTCGTTTTCTACACCTTCAGTGTCTTTTTGCAGAGTGTGACCAAAAGTAAGCTTTCAGTTTTTTGCACCGAAAAATCTGTCTTCTTGCCCGCTGGCCAAATTGCTTGATTTTGCGTAGAAACTGTAATTTTAATTGTGAAATTTTTTTAAAAATGTTTTTAACTATATTTGGTGTTTTATGTTTTTCTATATCTCTAAATTTTTAATGAAGATATTTTGTATTTTTTTAATTTTTGCTTTGCCGCTAAGTGAGAACTGAATTAGTTGAATGAGAAATAAATCACTAATAAAGTTCAAGGAAATAAGTGTTTCATATTAGCATAAAATATTGTCACCAGTCTGTTTCGGGCAGAAGAAAATGCTTACGAGTAGCATATGCGCATTAGGTAAGCAGCACTGAATCATCTGTGAGAAACTGTTTCTTTTTTATTTGTTTAATTTCTTTTATACATTGCTTTAGATTTATTATAGTGTTTGAATAGAACATGTGGTGATGATTAGATAATTCTTGAGATAATATAATATTTTTGCATTCTGAGTTATAAAATGAATGAGATGTAACGCTGTTAAGTGGACCTAGCACCAGACTATCGCTATGGTAAATAAATATAGTGAATTTTAAAAAGTGCAGTTATTCTACTGTGGTTTATGCACTATCGACGAAGTAGTTTTAGTTCAATTCAATAAGTTTAAATGAAATGCAGGAAAAATGCATATAATTTAATAAGTCTGTACAAGGAAGTCATGTGGTATACAAATCAGATTTTTTTTATTTAAATTTTGTTTGTTTCCTTTGAATTCTATAACAACCACTAAAACCTCTCCATTTCAAAAGCTGCTGCTGAATTGAAACCTACTGCTTGTGAAATATGATCTCATCCGTCCTGTTTACCACCTTCTACACAAAGTAGACAATGTCAGTTACTGACTTCTTGCTGAGACATTTGTGAAGTCAGGGAGGAGGATGTAACAGAACTATTTGGATGTAACCAAACTGTTATATCAAATGTCATCTAGTGGTGACAAGAACAACTTACAGCAGTCAACCGCCAACTGCAGCGAGGATAGGTTCTCCAATAATATCCTCAACATTATTAGATAATCCTGTGTGACTTGAACATTAATTATAAATTTTAAGTACTCCATTTTGGTATATATTTTCTTTGTAACTCTTTCTATGCTCTGTTAATAAATACTTTTAGATCTACCCAGCATTTGTGTCACATAGAACTGTTACACTAAGAAGCTAAACCTAGCTTATAGAAGAAAAACAGCTATATCTTGAAACTTAATTTTTCCTTTTTAAATGCCTAGTAGGTCATATTAGGGACTTGACTGCTAGGTAAGTGAATTAAAACTTACAGCTGCCACTGGAATTTTGTTATCATGGCAACCTTTATACAGATGGCTTATTGAAAAGAGTCTTTGTGCCTTAAAACCAATAATTTCTTGTATTTCATTGACCTCACAACAAAAGTATGCCTTTCTGAAATAGTGCAAAGAACACAGAGATGGGATCTGTTGTTAATAATTTCTCCCCGCCTCAATATTGTATTTCAATTTGAAATCTGAATTTAAACATGCTTAGATGGGGGAAAATGAGCATTACGGCTGTGATGATATGGGAAGAAATAATGATTGATAGATATATTCCACTGCACATGTTTGATTGGTGGCATACCCAGATATGTCAAGGTGAAGACCTCTTGGAGAAGAAGTTAACTCATCTTTTTATGGATGATGATGTGTGCTGACACTCAGCAATCTAGCTGAAGAATTTTTCTGAAGCCCAAAGGATCGAGCAAATAAATTCACCAACCAATTCTTCTAATTGAATATCTTGAGGAAAATACGGGTCATTCTTCAAAAGGGAGTTGCCTGATAAATTATTCCTATTAGAAACCTCAGTGGTTTGAAAAAAAAAAAAAAAATGTTGATAGAGGAGAGAGACTGTATAATTAATCATATTATTAAAATTGAAATCATCTCATAAATTAATGCACTTAAAGTTGCCATTTGTTTCTGGTGATTTTTATTTTTTTCTTCAAAATTTCATTGCCATATATTATTCCAGTATCATTTGTTTTATAATATAATTTTGTGATGCATACATTCACATTATAGGACTTTTTGAATTTATGTGATATAATTTGGTAGTATCAGTCCAAATAAATTCATTAAATTTTATTGTGGGATTTTTCAAATGTGAGCGTTTTCTGCATGTAAAGATGATTTAAGACACCATTGTTGGGACTGCAATATGATAACCCTTACACACAATTAAAGTGCTGTCATTATGTAAATCATTTTAAATTGCTGCTGAATATATAAACCATGGTTGCAGTTTTTACTTACTTAGAATAAAACAGTAAATAAGACTCAAAGTTACTAATTAATATATTCAGTTTAATTAAGTTTCACAGTATTATATTACCATTTGTTAACTTTAAAAACAAAACATTTTATTATAGCATACAAATGAGATATACTTGGCTGGCATTGACATATTCCTGGTCAAAAATTGGTCCATCATGAAAGATAAAAGAGCAAAAAATCACAAAACTATTTATCCAAAACAACAAATAAGAACTAATTTATATCGTTGTTGACTTATATGAAACACTGAGTTTAATTTCACTAGACTTAAATTATAAACTTACTGACTGAATCGAGTTGTTTATATGCTTTTCCTAGGATCTTCCAGAACAGTCCAAATTAGTCAAAGGGTCTGTGCATCTTGATGTGTCTACTACTAGGCAACCCAAGTTGAGAATATTGGATGTAGTAGAAAGTGTATGCATCTACCGTAGATTATAGTTTTACCATTTTGAGATGTCATATTATAGAAATTACAGTATGAAATATAAATATTTTTGAGCAAAAAGAACAGAATGAAAAAATATGTAAATGGATAGATTACATTGCATCCAGCTTTTATTTAATTTGCTAATATCATGTCAACCTTCTAATGACATGTCTATGTTTGGGCATTATTGGCGAAACTCCAATTCCAACAACCCGACTTCACCCCACTATCGATGAGTAAAGCAATTAAAGTATTCTTTCTTTCACTGAGCAGTAGGAGAAAAAAGCAGTTGTTACAACATCATCTTTGACATACTTGTATAATTTTAAGACTTATGACCAGAAAAGTACTACGCAGTTCTACTAAGATTATTATTAGGAATGTTTTTGTCAAATTAAAGAGCATTTCCTAATAAATCTAGTGACAAAATTGTTGCTTTTGCTGCTGATTTGTTAGGCATTTCTGTGACAAGCATAAATCACATGAAATTCGACCTAAAAGAAACTGGTGGATTTTTTACTCCGGGGAAAAAAAAAAAAAAAAAAAAAAAAAAAAAAAAAAAAAAAGACCTTTGAAAGTTGGTGCACCAAGCCCTCAAATCAATTGACATGGTGAGCTAATGGTAGTAACAATAAGAAGAAAAGTTCACAGTTTCTTTTTATGAAATGAGCTGTGAAAAGTTCACTTTAACCTTGTATGTGTTCTCAGGTTAGATTGTCATGAGGTTTAGCGTGATTGAGAAGGTGCAGTGTTGCCAGCTTGGGTTCTCAAGATTATTGTGTGCCAGTGACTTTACTTTTATGTAGGGCCAAGTGAAAATAAACCACACAAAAAATTCTAGATATTTTTAGCTTCCTATTTTGTTTTTTGTTTAGTTAGGCGAAATGTCTTGGTTCAGTTAATTATGAAGCTTTTACAATATTTCATGGCATTCCTTGTGAAGAGGCCACGGCTCCGCAAAATTTGGGAACCTTTAAGGTATTCATTTAAAAACAAATATCACTTTTTGAGGTAAAAACTGTGTTATTAAATAGTTTTTTTTCAAAAGCTTTCCAAATAAGTGTTGCAAACTCCTTAGTTATATTTGTTTGTATAATATATTCAAGTATCGTATTTTAAACCATTAGCTGCTGCTGTCGCATTGATGCAATGGTAAAAATAAATGTCTATAAAAATATAACTATTGAAGATATTTTATACTAGCAGATGATTTTGTGTAGGAAATATTATGAAGATTTATTTCTACAAAAATATTTGTCTTTAACAATAATTTTGTTTATAATAATTAGTCTCATACTTGAAGCAAAATTTTTGACCAGGTATTTTTGCTGAAAAAAAAATGTAACAAAAGAATTGCTATAGTGATCAATTTTTAGCCAGATTGACTTCTAGAGACTTCATGGATATTGGATGTTGCGCTGGGGCAACGTCCGATATTCATGAAGGGTATGAGTAAAGGTTATTCCCTTTTTTTACTCATGTCTTCAGATGCTGTGGTTGATATTCATTCCATGCTTTAAATTGCCTAGAATGAGGTACCTTACATTAGAAGAAGCCCTTCAATGTCCCATCGAAATTTGCAGAAACTAATGATGAAGAAGAAGGGAACGATAATGTTTTGAGTAATGATATTTTACCAAATGAAACTGCTTGGAAAATGAAAGTTCATGTAAGAAGTAAGTTTCAGCCTTCCAAAAACAGCTGGTCAAAAAAAAAAAAAAAAAAAAAGGACAGACAACTGAAAATCTGAAATGGATAAGAAAGGAACCTTCAGTTATGATTTCATCTTCTCTGTCATCTAAAAAATAAATGTTTTAGTGCTACAGGAAGAATTCAAGAAAACCACATACAGATGTGCCCACTAGAAACAGTGAAATGTATCCATAAGTAAGACATGGTTTATTATGATTTCCAGTGTAAAGAGAAAAAGATAATTTTTGTCCAATGGAATGACAATTTGATTGTAACTGTTGGTTCAACATTTGGAAAAATTCAGCCTGTAAAAAGTGTTTTCCGTTATTCGAGAATGTAAAGGAAAAAGGTTTTTGTATCTCAGCCCCATCTGATTGAACAATACAGTGCCAAAATGGGAGGAGTCAACTTATACGACAATTAGTCAGTTACAGAATAAGAGTTCATGGCAAAAAAATGGTAATGGCCGATATTTACTAATTACATTGATGTGTCCTTGACAAATGCAGGGAAAATATCGTACCTTTCTACTACTGAAAATAAAAAGCCTCTTTTAGATTTCAGACACAAGACTGCATTATTCATTTTGAAAGCACCTGTTGAGAGTGTAGAATTAACCAGAAATAGATCAGCAACTGAAAGGCCTAGTAAGTTCAGCATCCAAAACCCATTGTGTGGAGATGGTAAGCATTTTATCATAAAATCTAAGGATAACAGAAGACCTTTGTTGTAGAGAATGGCATAGCCAGTTTGTTTATAGATGCAAAGTATGTTAATGTAGCTTTACATCATGATTGTAGTAAAGCTTTTCATGCTTGAATTTTTCAATGGAAAATAATCTGTATTTGTAAAAAAAAAAATACAATATAAATTTTAATATTAAATTGATTACAATAAAGTGATTTGTAGATTTATAAAGCATTATACAACTAAAAAGTATTCTACTCAAAGAAAACTTTGCATGAGTATAATCATATTCATTAAACATTCATATCACTGACATTGCACAAATGCTACACTCGATTTTTCCATAGGTAAGAGCTTTTTTTTTTTTTTTTTTTTTTAATTTTCAGTGTAAATTTATATTGTAAATATTTAATTTCATACTTATTATATTTGTATAAGAAAAAAATCTTTTCTTGTAGCTTTGCTGGTTAATGGGTTAATCAAATGGCTCTTGTAAATATCTGTATCTCCAAGCTAAATATTTAAAGTATTTTAATGAATTGTCAAATTTTAATATTAGTCTATAATAAAAACTTCTGAGATTTTTTAGGAAAAAAAAAAGTTTTCAAAATGTTTGTCAAATAAAGCCTTTTGCTTGTATTTGATATTGGAAATAAATTGCAAACTTAGGTAAGTTCTAAACTGCATTAATTTTATCTAAAACTATATTGATCTCAAAAGCAATCAGGCATTTCATTTTCCCTCTTATAGAAGAGGAACTTGTGTTTGATCGTCCTTGAAATCAGTAGAGTTTTATTCGAAATCTGCACTAAAAGTTAGTTGGGCACGTTTGTGTAATATTAAATTTTAGTTTAATATATTTCTCTTTGTTTCTGAATTAACAGTTTTTTCATCATGAACAATTCTGTCACTTATTGGGCTAACAAAAGTTTATTATAATAATTTTAATTAAGTATGATTAATAAGTTTTTAATGAAAAATTGTTGGTTACAATTTACATATTGTTTGAATATGAAGACCATTTGTTTTACATGTGTTCGTACAGGTAATCTTGACTTTCTTTAAGCTGAAAAAAAAACAGTGATTATTTTTATATTGAAATTGATATCATTACTGTTTTGTATTAATTGACTTCAACTTTTGTACAGTGTGGTTTTGCTGTAAATGTAACTGTATTAGCTTACCCAGTTTATGATTTTGCTTGTTCTGGTATGTATTGTTAGTTGTTCAAAGGAGTTGCAGCTTATAAGTTGAAAATTTTTGCATGCTTGGTTTGATTGAGTGAAAATACTGTTTGTTACACTGATTAATTAAATTATGGTTATTTTATATCTTGAAAATATTAATTTTAATTCTAGGCCCAAAATAGCTTTAACTACTTTAAAGAATTGGTGGAAAAACGAAAAGCAACGAGAGAGAAAAAACCAAAGATGTGACAATCAATCTCCTGAACCAGTTAAAGCCAAACGAAAAAGAAAAACATCAGAAATAATTTGCCCAAAAGAAGGAGCTAATGATAATAGCATTCAGAACTTTAGTGGCTCTAATTCACAAGATAATATGAAACCTAATAATTTCACTTTAATAAACCATAGTGAAAATGAAAGTGATTTGGATAGGTTTAATCGAAAAGACAGTGAAATGAGTGAAAACAGTAGTTTAGTTGGTGATTCTTGCCCACACTTTCCAAAAACAAGTCCAGTAGAAGTTATAAAGTCAAATTCTAAGTTTTCTGTACTTGGCCATGCACAATCTGAAAATGATATTGAAAGATTTGTGAAAAAAGATATAGACAGTAATGAAAGTAATAAACTAAATAGCAATATTTTGCATGCTCCAAAGATTCCACTTCATGAAGATTCAAGCCTATTTCACAGATTGCATACTGTGTGCTTGGATCATACTCATGGTTTGTTTGGATTTTCTGATCCTCATTTGAGTGTTCAGAATAGTTCCAAACTTTATTGTGATAACCCACCGGTGTTAAGGACTAGTATTATTGATGTAAGTAATAGTCACATGAGTTCTGAAGATGATGTTGATGTTGGCATATGAATAGCATTGTGCAGTTTATATTACCTTTAACAACGTGTTTTCACTTATCCTAAAAGTTTATTTTTAATTCAAATTCTGATTGGGCCAAATGGTAATCAAGCTGTTATTCATGTTGAATTCGATTTCTAAAGATTAAATTCATATGTATGCAGCATTAAGTTCTAAGTAATTCATTTTCATTATGTTAATTGGTATGGCTGTTTTAATCTCTGTACTGTAATCTTGTATGCTTTTTTCGTGTTGGAGAGGTATAGCTTTGATGCAATGCCAAAATACAAAAAAGGTTTTATTTTTCAGTATATTTTGTTTAGAGAGATGGTATACATATGGTAAAGATGTTAAATGTAATACAAACTGTGCAAGTTGGTATCAAAAATGTTATGTATAAAAGCACAAATACCTCATTAAATTCCAAAAATCTACTCAAAATTTCTATTAATAATGATGTGCTTACTTAATGAAGCATTATTTTAGAGCATTAAGCTTAATATATAAATTCACATAACAAACTAGTTGCAAAATTTGCTTTGAATAACAGTCATAAATGATTCAGTTCAATGTATACGAATATAAACAGTACTGCTTTTCTGTCATTTGGAGCTAATGCCAGACTGAGAATTTAATTAAATTTGAATCTATTTCATCTGTAATTTTTTAGGTGATGCATAATAAAGTGAAAGATATAATTAAGCATTGTACTTGTAAATGCATGGAAATGTAGGCAATTTGTAAAACATTGTAGATGTGTTAATTGTTATAAAAGCTGGATTTGTAGTGATGAGGTAGTCTGAGTGATTACTTTAATTTTTAAATTTAAATAAGTGATTAATTATGCTATATTTGAAATGTATTGGGTTATATGAAAAGTCGTGATGTATTTTTTTCTATGTTCTTCAAAGATCCTTTATTTATATAAGGAACAATGAGCAGTTTAATAGTATATTGTCCTTTTTTCTCAATAACTGTTTGCTTGCTTTTAACGAGCTTTGTAATTCTTCATTAACAAAAGAACTTTATTGGCAAAAAGCTGAACAAGGGGTTAATTACAGTCTCACTTAATTTGAATGGTATACGGCGAAAGAAATTTTGAAGAGAGTGAAACAAGTGAAAATCTGATGGCACAAGATCATGCGAGTATGTTACACATGGCAACACTTTTCATCCATACTCCAATAATTTTTGTCAGTGATCAAACTTGTTGTGTGGTCTTGGCTCCAAGTTCCTACGAACAAACCAAAAAATCGTTTAGAATGTTTGTCACCAACTGGACAGTTTCAATGAATCTATCTTCCAGAAACTTTCAGAGCTCATTAATCATATAGGAACTACATTCCATCCCAATAATAGGAGACCATACACAAGATTGATCACCGGACAAAAATTATTGGATTTTGCATGAAAAGTGTTGCCATTTGCATCAAATTCGCTTAATCTTGTGCCCTAAGATTTTCACTTGCTTCATTTGCTTCACTTTCTTCAAAATTTATTTTGTAGTATAACATTCAATTCAGATGAAGCTGTAAAATCAGCAGCTTTTTCACCTTTTCTCCAAATGAAACTATGTTATTTTGTGATAATGAGGATTCGCGAAGCTCATTATTGTAAAAATAAAGCAAACATTTATCGAACAAAATGGGCAATGTACTATTGACTGCTCATTGTTCCTTTTATAAATAACGGACCTTTGAAGAACATAAGAAAAATGCGTCATGACTTTTCAGACAACTCAATAATTTGAAGGTCAAATCTTTATTTATTTGTATTTACTTTATTTATAAATTTTTAATCTGTGAGATATGTAAAATTAACTAAAAGATTGTTGAGGTTAAAATAATGGAATTCAGTTATGGGCAATAATAGCAAATGTTGTGTTTTCTGTATATGGATGAAATTACTAAACACAGAAGGTTTTAATTCATTTGGTAATTTATTTATGGTAAAACATATTTATAGTTTTTCTTTAAAAAATGAAATAGCATAAAGAAAAATAGAAACAAAAATAGCACAGCCTTTTATAATGTTTATCCTTTTATAAATAAAAGGTTTTATAAGAGTAAAGAAGCATATACAATTTAAAAGATAATTGGAATTGTATCTTTTATATTTATATCTGTCATACTAAGATAAGAACTTTGTGCTTTATAGAGCATTCAGTAGCTGTATTTTTTTAGGTATCATTATTATTATTATTTTACTTTTCAAATTATTTTTGTATTAGGAAACTCTTACTCTAGCATTAAATTTACAAATTCTAAACTGATTTCTCAATACCGTAATATATTTAATTATGTTCTTTTATATTATAAGATTTTGACAGTTATCACATTTTATTGAAAACATAGATTTTAGTTATTTTCGTGAATATCATTAAGAGTTTCTTTGCCAGTTCTGATGCTTTCTTATAACTTGTTTAAAAAAAGGGAGGGCAAAATAAATATCTAAGGAATATTTTTTTTTAATTCTTTTATTAGTAAATAGAATCATTTTCCTTCAATTAAACAAGTGCAAGATTTTGTAAGAAAATATTCGTGGGGAAAAAAATTGGAATTAACAAATTCTATGAGAATTTATCTGATTTGTGGAACTTGTCAAAGTTTTTTACACATATTTTTATGAAATATTATTATTTGAAAAAATCTATTACCCTTTCTTTGTGATAATCATATCAGCCAGCTTACAATCACACCATATTTCTGTCAACAAAAGATCTGTAGGAAAAGCATCAGGACATTGCTCTAAAAGTTAAAAAACTTTGCATAAGGTTTCAGCATGGCTAATTTTCATATTTTTGTTTCTGTTTCATTGTCATCTTCAGCATTATTCATCACTTGTAGTTTTTATTGTTCTGCATGTCTACAGCATGAATGATTTCTTCTTCACTTTAACACCTGAAAACTTGCTTTGTTTTTTTAAACATTTAACCACTTCAGAACATTATGTTGAGCAATGTCTTCACATAATTGTATTTTTTTAAACATGCTTACAAATTCATTATTAGTAAGCATCCAACTGTTTATTTTGCTTTCATCTTTAACATGAATACCCACATATTTTAGAATAATGTGCAAAAGGAAGGCCATTAAATGATCACCACTGACAAGAAAGGCCAAAAGATCAATCACAGATAAGAGAATTTCTGAATGTTGCTGATTTTTACTACCCTTTCTAAAGGTATTAGGGTTCTAAATGATTTCTTTAAATTGATTGATGGTTCAGGTAATAAAGACTTCCGTTGAGTCTCAATTAACCATTTTTCATGGAGTTAATTTTTTATGTATTAGTTACATTTAATCAAATATGCAGGCAGAAAGGGGGAAATGAGACTGTAGGATCTGCTGCTTTTTATTGTACATTAAGCAATAAATTTTAAATCTCCATAATAGGCAAATATTTATTGAGTTTTATTTAATGTGGTGAACCTGTGGGACACACTTTGATTTAATCAAAATGGTGATGAGATGAATTATATTTTATATAAGTAATGCATTTTAAATTTTTTTAAAAATTTTATTCACAGATATATGCTATGCTTAAAAAATTAGATAATTCAGATAATTTTTGTATATTTTTCATTCCTGTAATATTACAATTCTTGTTGCTAACTTCTGTCCCTTTTGTAATATTTCTGCTAAGCTTTACATATGTACCCCCCAACCAAAAAAAAAAAAAAAAAAAAAAAAAAAAAAGATTTCTCAATTAAGTGTTATATAGCGTCTTAACACATAATTACAAATTGTAATATGTAATTTGGATTTACATAACTCAAAAGTAGTGTGAAACAAATGCAATTTCAATAATGTATGGAATAAATTTTTTTTTTGGGGGGGGGGACGAATATCTTGGGAACAAATGCAACTTTTTTACTTTAAAAGGAACGTCATTTCTTTGACTTATACGCATGTATCACAATGCAACAACATGCTTTCAATATGACATTTTTCATACCTCTACCAATAAATTTTTCAAGGCTATGAAATGAGAATTTGGTTTTGTAGCAATTTTTCCAAAAGTAAATATATATTCTCTAAGGGATATAATATATATTCTATTCTCTAAGGGATATAATATATATATTCTCTAAGGGATAAATATATATTCTCTATATATCTTCTTCTATATATTCTCTAAGGGATTCAAACTGGTATTTTGCTCAATATCTTCAGTTTGAAGGACTTAAAAATAAAGTTAGATTCATGTGCAACTTTAAAAAGGCCTTAGATAAGAGCATAAAACTTGATTTCTAAGTAAACACATATTTTCTCTTGAATCTATGCAGAAAATTATATACACTGATCATTATTCTTCCATATACCATTTCATCGGCACTACTATCATGTTCTTCATTTCCTCTAGTTGTAAATTTGTTTGGAATCAGATGTTAAGCTGAGTGTCAGCAAGTCATTGAGAAAAATATGAACCCATTTTTATAGGTTTTAGCTCTATTATTATCTGCACCAATTCTGGTAGACCCATATTTCTTATGCGATCAGCAAACCATAAACTCTAGGTATGCTGGAATAAATATCATTTTTATTATACCTTCTGTATATAGTTTACTCCAGTATAAAAATTTCAGTACTAGCTGTAAACTTAGCTGCCTGGTATTAAATTTTTATAGTAATAGACAAAAATCAATATTGAAATATATATATATATATATATATAATAATTTATTTCCTAAACAATATATATATTTCTATGACTTCTAGCTCTCTGAGAACTGAGTCTTTAGATCATTTCAAGGGGGGCTGAGACTGTCACTTGAAGCAATCAGCCATCATGGTTCTTCTTTCTTTCTATAGGGCCAACAACTCGCTACCAAAGAAATTTCATCAGATGATACTTGAGTATGATAATAAACTGTTTTGATTCAATAATATCTGAATTGCAGAAGTTTGAAAGGAAATGTGCTTTGCACAAATTTCCTTTAACATTATTTTCATTTCAGAAACAAATTGATCAAGTTGGATAAATATTTTTGTACATTTGAAGATAATTTGAGATATCAGTGTATTATATTAATTCCAGTAAATTTGAAACTAGACTGTAAGTATGTATTATTATTAATGAAATAAAAGGTTAATTAAAAATGAATAAGCTGATAAAAATTATCAGTGTGTGTGACATTTACTTGAAATAGTATTTATGGCTTTTCACATGTGTTTGGAAATAAAATTATTATCATCATTTGAAGAAAATGAAAAGCTGTCTGCGGAGAGACTGTATGAGTTTATTTTTATATTTCAGTTTCTGTAAAATGTGAGTGTATTTTTAATTGCTATTATTTTTCCGAGTAGTGTTTTTATAATATGACAAACTACAACGGAGGAAACATGACATTCTATCTGTATGTTGTCACTAAGATTCTGCATATAAATTGAAACTGAAATGATCGAAAATATTAACTCTCTGTTTAGCAGAATTTTTTAACGTAATAGAAGGTATTACCTTTATATAAAGAGGACCAAATGATCTTTTCATGTTTTAAATATGCATGTTTATTCACCTTTAGTACAGGTTTTTTTTTTTTTTTTTGCATTAATTCTGAGGTACCTTTCAAGAAAATTTTAATTGCTGCTTTAATAATTTTTAAGTCAATTAAGTAATTTTAATATATTTTTTTCATTCATTAGACAATTAATATTAATGTTATAAAAGCTATTTTCCTCAAAACTTCTGATACAGCTTTTTATCCTCTAACTGTTTAATCTTATAATATGCTAATCTTTTACGATATTCTCCTAAAGATATTGCCTTTAATTGTTTCTTTAGTTCTACTCCCATTAATTCTAGAGCATTATATGATTGTTTGGGAAATTTTGTGCAAGTTCATCGTAAATTTCTGCTCAGCTTGGGAATAGATAAATGTTTAAACTTCCTGGTTTAATTCTTTTTGTAGGTTTGGAACTCCTTAAATTCTTCCCTTGATTATTGAATTTTCTTAGAAGGTAATTGTTGCTTTTCTTTTTCAAGTTGCCTTTTTGTTGGTTTGCATTCTTCATTTATTTTTTATCCTTTCATGTAGTCTATAGTGACTATGCAATGCAATCCTCTGTCCAGTCTGCCTTTCTCACTGTTTTATTTCTTTAATATCATTAGCAATTCCCCCTCTTTATTACAGGTCTTCTGACTATCAATTTCAGTAACTATTCTTTTATTCTTCTGTGAAAATTCTTTTTGTAGAAGAATATGTGAATTTTATATCCATCTTTTTATCCGTCTGATTTAAAAATATCTATATGCATTTTTGATTTAAGAGTTGTGAAAAGATAAGTTTTGGGCACTAGTCAAAATTGAGTTCATGTGTGGTAAATCTGGGCTTTCTCCAGATGTGTTGTATTTTGACATATCATATAGGAGCGATAATTATTAAAGGCACATTTAGTTTGATAACAACTCGCTACCTAATAAATTCAAGTCTAGTTAGAGCTGGTTTACTTGCTTTATAAACAGAAGCTGCGAAAACTTGTTATGAGTTCCGTAGTACACTTATAACGTACTCTCTCTAGAGCAGAGGTCCTGAGACTTAGTCAAAAAGCAGAATTTATGTACATTTGTAATTGCTTAATTTTTTAACTTCATTAAATCCATGGGGAATGAAAAGAAAATACCTACATTACGTAGTTAAACGTTTTGAAAAGGTATATGTGGATACTCCGTCTTTATTATGTAAATATTAGTGTTTCAACTTGAATATATTATACATGGATATAGCTTATAACTGCATGACTTTGTTTAGGATAATTACTTTTGTTATTGTTAAGATTTGTAACATGAGTAGCAGCTGTAGTAGATCAGATATATCTATCGATATGTGCCATAAATAATGTTCTTCCCCACCCCCATTAAAATTCATAAAGATACTTTTTTCCCCCAGGGAGGTGGTAATTAATTTGCTTTTGGATGAGAGTAAAGGATTTATTTCGGGTTTAATCCAGGATAAGTGAATTGATTTTTAATTTCATACTTAAAAAATATGCCTTTTTTTTTTTCCTGTTTATGTTTAATGTCATTGTGCTATTGAAAATAGTACATACATATATGATAATAGTTTTTGTAAATTAAGACACAATAACACGCTGAATAAATACTAATTCAGAAGTCAAACAACAAAAATCAGCATAAATATAACGCTGATTTTTGTTGTTTGACTTTTGAATTAGTTTTGGTAAATTCAAAACCTTTATGTAGAAAATTTCATGATTCATATTATACACATTTGTTCAAATAATGATAATTGGATAAGGGTTTAAAGTTCTTCAACCTAAATACAGAAAAAACGAAGCCATTTTAAGTATTTAAAAATAGTACTGATTATGTTTGTTTTTTGGGGGGCGGGGGGTAAGATGTGAAAATTAATTTGATTATTTGTTTTTTAGTAAAATAATGGATTTAGAATTTTAGTTTGAAAAAATATACTAAAGGCTGCTTTAGAGTATAACCAACATTGTTTCTAGCCCTGAAGCATTAAGGAAATCACAAACATTGATTTGAAGAAAATTATTATCTTTTCTTAGTTTTAAGAAACGGAGTTTTAATCATGGAAAAGCAGTGGCCATAAGATGGATTAATAAAAGAATATGTAGAATTTAAATTCTGAAAATGAAGGCTGAATATTTTTTCATGTAACAAAGCTGAAACTCTAAATACATTTTTTTAATGTAAGATAAATGCTGCTTTATTGTTTTTATTATTATTATGAAGTATACTGAATTATTCATAGAAAAGAAGAAACTTTTCTCTGAACTTTTCCAAATACTAATGAAAATTACATTCCATTAATATCTCTAATATATTCTAATAATGTTCAGAATATTATTCTAAATAATACTGAAAAAAATTGAATTGAGATTTAATTCGTATTTTCATTCTGAATACATTTAATAATCTATATGCTTAAAATTTGTAACCTGTGCATAGATTAAAGGTACACTGTTGAAATGTATGCAAATAAATTTGCATATACATTGGTTATCATTAATTAAGGAAAAATATAAGAAATGCCAATTACTAAAAGTTACATGTAACATTTAATGAAACTGATGCACAGTAAACAACACATAGTAAGGTATAAGATAGCATGAAAAGGAATTATCACACAAATTATAGTATTATACAAAGTATATGTATAAAATGAATTAACCGGATGTGTGAATTTGATGTAGGAAAATTACCTTCAGTATGATCTCTTCTAGAAGCACTACAGCACATACTGCGATGTGTGATGCTGTCAATTATGCAGTCTGTCAGTTTTGTAGGAAGTGGGGGACACTGCTCTTGCATAGCAGTTGCAAGCATGACAAGGTCCAAAGAGGAGGATTGAGAGTAGCTATATATTTTCCTAAAGCATCCGAAACATGCTCGATAGGATTCAGGTCCGGCGATCGAGCTGGCCTCTCCATGCATTGAATTGTTTGCTGCTGAAAATAATCAGCCACGATGTGAACCTTATGAGGTCTAGCAGGAAATCATCACCTATTGCCCCGGCGTAGGGGTGCACATAAGCATCAAGGATGTCATCTCTACCGGCCTGAGCATTCATGGTTCCACGTGAAAAGATATAGAAGTCTGCGCATCCACCCAAAGAGATACCACCCATAGCACAGACACTGCCTCCTCCATATGCATCTCTTTCACGGATGTTTGATGGATTGTAGTGGGTTCCAGGTTCTCTCTAAATCAAATAATGCCTGCTGTCACTTTGGAGGCTAAACCTGGAATCATCTGTAAAGAGAACAGCCCTCCATTGATCAGCCGTCCAGATGAGGTGTTGATGTGCCCACCTCAAGCGTTCTCTTCTCTGACGTGACTTAAACAGCATGCAAATGATTTGCTGCTTCACGTACAGACCACCTTCGTTAAGCCTTTTACAGATGGGTGACGTTCACATCAACCTTCCGGTGGCTGCAGCAAGGGAGGATCTGGGTTGACTCTGAGTTGGGGTTCTGTTCTTTCATTCACAGAATAGGGTTCGTAGGGCTGGTCATCTTTGGTTGAAGCTCGTGGATGCCAAATCTGTAGCTAGAAATTGTTGCCAAAGTCTATGAACCACAGAAAGACTCACATTAACCGTCTGGCTACATCTATCTGACTTTGTCCTGCCTCTAAATCTCTCAATAGCTCTCCATTGCAGTTCTTTGGGCAATATGCCTGGAGGTCATTGTTACGAATTGGCTATCCCGGATTCTTATCTCAGTATCACAGAGGAATATGCAGGCTTGATTTCTAACATGCAATTTTATGCTCCTTGCAGATGACGTATTCCGATAGCAGTCCCAGTAATTTGCATACTGCAGTTTTACTCAGCAACTCTTATTTGACAACATATTTAAATTTTTTACAGATTGGTTTTGTCGCTCAAAAGTAAGCCAATCCGTATAATTTTTTATTGATATTATTTATTTATTTTTCCTTAATTTTTGGAATCCATTGTATTTTAATGAAAGACAAACCAGAAAGTCAAAGGTAATTTTATTTATTAGTGGACGTTTGTTGTAAAATTTTATATATAAATTATTGTATTCTATTAGAGTTGTTTAAGTTTTTGCTCTACTTTAATGTTACATTTTCTATAATTAATAATATTGTTATCTCTTCTGAAATTTTCTACTTTCTGTGAAAAAAAAAAAGGATGCCATGTAATATGTATCATTTAAAAAAAAATTGAAGTGGTTAAAAAAACTAAAATTTATTTGATGATTACAAATACAATATTGTACGATTTATTTTACCAGTATATTATAACTGTGTGATAATAAATGACCATGGTAGTGAAACATCTATGCAATAAGTAAAAAATGTAATTATTTCCATTTTGTACTCAACTGTATTTTTTTGTAAACAATTTTCTGGAAAGGGCAATTGTGCAATGACCCTGTTAAAAAAAGGGGGGGAGGGGACAGACTTAGATCTTTATTCATGTTTTCATCATTCTGCTGTATTTAAACTTTCAAAACTTTTGCTATTTTATAAGATTTTTCTAATATGTATCATAACCTCCAAAAAAGAAGTTTTTTCCTGCATTACTTTATATGAATAATGCATATACTAGTGCAGAAAAATATGGCAAATTTGTAACGGAATTATTATCATCCTTTTAATGCTTCTTCCTTGCCATATTTTGCTGATATTTTAGCTGAATTTTTCATTGAAGACTGAAATAAACTCCTGTATTAAATACACATTTATAACTGCGTGATTTTTGTTGTGATAATATTTTGAATATTTTCTACACATTTATTATACAACTTTTTTAATTTTCTATTGATTTTTAATTTTACTAAGAGTAATGGAATACATTTGTATAATAATTAATGTTATGTTGTGTGTTGCCAATGTAAAAAAATATTGTGATATTTTTAAGTAAAATTATATGTGTATCTTCATTTGAAATGTATCTGATAATCTTTAATCTTAATTTTCTTACAGATTACCATTTTTACAAAGTTATATGATTACAGAAAATTTAATAAAGTGCTTCAGAATACTCTCTTTTTATTAAAGGACTAGAAAATGAAATTTTGGTATGAAAAGTAATTGGCATATGTTTTTGACTTATTTTGGCATTTAAATTGTGCAAAAATATTTTTTTTAGTTCTTAATCAATAAATATTAAGAAAACAATTTTCAAATTATATTTTTGAAATTAATTTTAAAATTGAATAGAAATCTGTTGTTTTAAATTCCTTTAAAATGAATGTGTCTTTTCGATGTCTTTCTTTTTATCAATATCAATAGTGTAACTGAAATTTCAAAAAATTAATTTTTGGGTCATCCCATGTAAAAAATTTAGTTCTTTTGGGGAAAGGGTCCTTGTGTTTTATGCTTCCCTTCCTTTTCACTTCTTATCTGAAAGCAGCTGTGTATATTTAACAGTGTTCAGTTAAAAATATTTTAGGGGCGAAAAACAGTTGTAGAAAAAATATATGTAGTTTAATTATGTGTCAAATGTGTAACTATTGGATTTTGTTTACACATTGTTATTTTTTATGTAAATATGTGCTTGTTATGAATAGTTTTGCAATGTTTTTAAGTGCCTAAAAATTTTATTCATTTTTTGCATTTCATTTTTATGCAAATGGTATAATCTGTTATCTAATAGAAAAAAAATTAGGTTTTTCATACTGAAGTTATATATCCTTATTTATAATAAGGACCAAAAAATATACAAATATGATTTCTAATGTATTAAGTAATTGATTACCCTCTTAGTTTTAAATGTAAAAGTATGTACAATAATGAATTAGCATGAAAAATTATATCCTCAGTGTAAATTTTCTTAGTCTTAGATGTATAGATTGAATAAAAAAATAAATTTAAAAAAAAATCTTTCGTTTTACTCGGCAAATTGCCGAAATTCAACTTTGTGTTTGTCATGTCTCAAAAACGCAACTTATGATACATATTAGATTTATATATAATGTTGTTCTGACGTACACATTTTGATGCAAAATCCGACTTTTTCTGAAATGGCATGCCGATTTTGTGTATTTTGATTCTACGGCTCAGGTTATGTCTAAATTTTATGAATATGAATTTTGGTGAGAAATTTAAGGAGTAATTCGATGTTTTAGAATGGCGCTTTTTTTTTACTTTCTGCCAATAATAATTCATTTGACAGATTCTCAGTTTATGGCAACCTATTTCGCTTTCCCTATATTTTGTAATTGTCATTTTTAGAATTTTATTTATTTTATTTTTCTGGATGGCATGGTTTCTTCTGAACGTAAAATACTAAGAAAAATATTTTGCTCTGTTTGTGAAAATGGTGTTTGGAGATCAACGTGTAATCATGAAATGTACCAAAAATTTAGACAGCCTGATATTATCAATTTCATAAAAAGGCACAGGACTCGGTTGGGTCATTTATACATAACTGAAGAACACAAACTCACTAAAACAACTTGCATTTACCAAACCTATGGGAGCGAGGAAGTTCGCCATACTATACATAGAGGAGACTAGGGAGTATTGCCATGAATAGATCCAGATGGCATAGACTGATTGAGACGGCCTTGGCCAGCAGTAGACTGTAGTGTCTCAGAAGAAGAAGAGTTGCATGGTTGAATAATTGTATTCTTTCAAATAGTAAAGCGATTTGGACCATGATACTGAATGTCTGCAGAGGCTAGGGAGACAGGAGGTGAAAGGAAAGACTGGTTTCATAAATAGTCATGTGATTTTTAGCTAATATCCGTATACTCCTTTGGATAAATTCTTGAATCTTCACCAAATTCTAAAAATTTCTTATTTATATGTTTGAACTGTGTACTTCAGTCCATTTAGTTATGTAAATGTTGTGAGAAATTGATATTATTTATCTGAACTAAATTTCTTTCGAATGAATACTTTGCACCCTAGTATACTCTATGATGCATTTGAAAACTGCATACATTAAAAGAGGAAATATGGTAAAACACAGTTATCTTTCAGTGGGCCATTCAAGAAATGGGAAAAATGTATAACTGTTATTTAATGTAGGAGGAGATGCATATATTGTTTACACAATTTCTTACATCACGACTCGAGGAATGATGCCAGAATGTTGTTAGTTTTCTAGTTAGTGTGTGGGGCTAATACCTGCTTACTTAGGGTAAATATTAGGTGGCCCCCTCACTTCTACATAACATAACATAACAGTACATTCATCATGTCATTGCTTTATTCAACATTACATTTTACTATCTTTGTTAAAATATTATCTGTATTTCAAAATAAGTTTAAATATTTCGTTTTTTAAATCCCAAGAATCAAATAGTATACCATAAAAAAAAAAAAAAAAAACTAAATTTTATGGAAAAAAAAAATTTTATCTTTTCAATATATTGCTGATTTTCTTGAGGCATTCTGCAGATATGTGTGCAGTCATTCACATATTTCTATTCACTATATACCACAAATATTTTTTAAACATTTTGGTTTTTTTAACTTTCTTAAGAATAGAGGTATGTATCGCCTACCGTTTCATCAATATTTGCTCAACATAAAATAGTAAAGCGATTTTGACCATGATACTGAATGTCTGCAGAGGCTAGGGAGACAGGAGGTGAAAGGAAAGACTTGTTTCATAAATAGTCGTGATTTTTAACTAATATCCTTATACTCCTTCAGATAAATTCTTGAATCTTCACCAAATTCGGCTGATATCATTGGATTCTCCTTTTATGATATGATATAAGGTTCTATAAAAGGAATTCATGATTTAAATTTATACAGCCATTCAGTGAAAAAACAGTTTGCTTTCGCATTCACTCGCGATGTTATTTCTAGTCTTTTCCGTCAGTTTCAGCCCATTCGCTGGAATATTGAGACACTGCATTGAGTAAAATACTTCTGCAAAATATGGTTTGAACGTCCAGTATTCGCCTTAAACACGCAACTTCCTTGAAGCAGATTTTCTGTAAACTGTTGTTCTTTCTTCTAATTTCCATCTTTTAGAAGTATTTGTTTTCAAAGTTGCACACAAGAACTTTACGTTCAGTGGTTTTCGACAGTTATAATTTCATAAATTTTGTATTCTTGTCAAATTCTCTCTAACTTTCAGGATAACCTCTGTTTGCTAGACATTTTAGTTGCAAATTAATTTTGAAGTAAAGCTCAGAGTACAAATAGTTGAATTAATACATCAAACAACATTAAACGTTTACTAAATTATAAAGATATGTCCCGAACCCAGGTTTCATTCACATGAATGAGAGATGAACATTAACAAGAGGCGCACATGATGTGTGTGTTTTTATGTCGCAAACTTCCGTCTGCTATCAGCAGTCTCTTCTGACCGGTCCGCTGGGGAAGAAAAGCTGCTACAGTGCTCTGGCTTGAATTACATTCTGCATGAGGAATAAATTATATTTCTATACATAATGCTGTTCCGTGCTGCTTCTTTAAAATACGGGAGAACTCACTAGGGAAAAGAGGCACCCAGACCCAGCTTATTTGCCATGCACGGTTAATTGCCCCAACCCCTGCAGGCGATCCAAGGCAGCATAAACCTCTCGGTCAATACAGGGGACATGTATGTTCACACACTCTGGGTGAAAGTTCACAAAGTCAGAAGTAGATGGCAACGCATCCATGAATGAAGATAAGAAAATACAACATAGTCTGTCCCCCAAGAGTTAACGAAGTGGTGCCAGACCCCCAAGGACAACCTTCGTAATCGAACCATGTAGCAATCTGAGCCAAGGTATAGAAAAGACAGTACCAGTTCGATTCCTGACAAGCCTGAACCATCCCCCAAATGAAGAGAGGTTCCAGTTCTGATGTTAAGCCACGAGTAACTTGTCCAGAGGTTCTAGTCCTGTGAAAACTGATGATATACCCCCGTAGCCGAGACTGACTAAGTGTAGATCCTAGCCAATAGCTTCACAGAGTTCTCTGCGTCGACTGCAGGATTAGGAATTAAAATACGGCAGTAAGATCAAATAAAGCAGCTCTTAATGGTGGTCTCCGTTACGTACTTTCGGACTTGAACAGTTTTACAGTAACGGACACTTTGGTTTTGATTCTTTCCGCTGGCGCGTGTTCTGCTTTGGTTATTCTATCTTTTATTCAATCGACATTTGAATTGGCCACTCCTAAACCGATATCAGAACAAAAGCCCGAATTCAACTATATCTTGGCTTACTGGTCGCCTAATATAGCCAATATGTTTCGTAATGTCATCATTCTACCTGATTAAG